AAAATAATAATTTTTTTGATGAAAAATATTGAAACAGTAAAATAAAACTAGATCGAATTTGATATAAAAACCAATTAACACGATACGTAATAGATAAAAAAAAAATTTTAAAAGCACAATATGTTATTTTAAAACTTATATCTCGAGCCGATTGTAATGGATAATTAACTCATGTAGTACCAAATATTGAGAACTTTAATGTTTCAAGAATCAAAGTTAAGATATCAATAGTATATAAAATTGAAAAATAATATTGAATATTTTGATATAGAGATTCTAATATTGTAATAATTTTGCATTGTGGAAAAGGTAAAAAAATAGTTAATGACCATAAAATTATATAATATATTAAAACAGATGAAAAGATTAGTACTAAATATAATTAGTAAATGAAATATATGAGAACATTGAAAATATTCAAGTTTCTTGCAATTCTCACAAGAAAAGCACCAAACTTCAACGTCACAATAATTTATGTGATACATCCTATCCTATACACTCATGTTGTCCTCCACATGAAATAATAAGCCCAAAGTGTCTCTTGAGGCAGTGTGAAATTGTCGTAGGCTCGACATGTGTTCTTCCTCCACTCACAAGAAATGGGAAGAGATTGCCTCACCTACTAAACTTGGTCAGTCAAGAGAGCGATTGGATGATGGCTGGACTTTTGCTGGTAAGTGCAGTGTTTGATGGTGGTGGATGAATGATGGGAAGCTCAGCTGTTCCTTTCCACGCTGAGAAAAGTTGCACTCAAAGTCTAAATTAGTTACTCATTGTTGGTGATCGAAAGAGTTGTTCAGATAACATTTTTAATATACAATAATGTTCTCGTTAAAAAAATTAATTAGATTATGGAAGAAAATTTCTTAATTATTTACCGTAAAACTTCTATTCTCGCTTATAAATAGATAAAATTTTACGGAAACTAAATGTCGATGTATGGATACATGATATTATTAAAAAATTATACATATTTATTTTATTATCTCCTTTTAGCCACATAAGGAAGTTAATTTTTTGATATTAAAATTTTTTATATAATAATAACATATTATTGATTTTTATGTTCAGGGTCAAGAGAGCAATTGGATGATGGTTGGACTTTTACTAGGAAGTGTAGTTTTTGATGGTGGTGGGTGAATGATTGGATGCTCAGCTGTTGCTTTCCACACACAAAAAAGTTGCACTCAAAGTCTAAATTAGGTACTCATGCAGATTGTTGTTGATCAAAAGAGTTGTTCAGATAACATTTTTAATATACAAGAATTTTCTCATTAAATTTAATTAGATTATGAGTTATATTTAATTAAAAAAATATATTATAAATATGATTGAATTCTGATAACGATTATCAATCAATAATTTTTTTAAATATAATAAAATTTCTTAAAAAATTTTGATGAAAAAAACTCTCTTGATTATTTATTCTAAAACTCTCCTGATTAATTTTTTAATATTAAAATTTGACATAGAAAAATTACACTCAAAGTCTAAATTAGGTACTCATGCAGATTGTTGATTGAAGAGTTGTTCAGGTTACAATTTTAATATACAAGAATGTTCTCATTAGAAAATTTAGAGCTTGTTGATTGCTTTCAAACAAAGGAATGAGTATTTTCTTTCACATAACAAAGCAAGCAGAGACATGCTAGATGAGACATGAACACTCCATCTCATGTGTCGATGACGATTTACCAGATTTCAAACATAAATATGTCATCCAATCTAAACTCTTTTGATTTATATTTTCATAAAAAAAACATTTATCTCGATCACATCTCATCATGTATGGTAGCACAATTAGAAAGATTAGATTTAGGTTAATGATTGGGTCATGTAGACGTTAATCCAAAATAGAATTTTCAAAACATATCTCACCTTAAAATATTTTCTCAATTAAACCCATTGTAGAAAGTCATTAGATCACGATAATCGAGTATAGTATGAAAGGGACCATATCGAGAAATCAATTTGATCTCGGTCTTCATACAATTTGAATAAGATTCGAACATAAATATGTCCATCAAAACTGAATCATCCAAGTGTAATGACATAAAAAATTATATAAAAATTCATAATTGTATTTCTAAAATTTGAAAATAGATGTATAATTATAATAAGTGTAATGACATAAAAATATAAATTTATACAATTTTAATCGATTTGAAACTAGGTTACTTAATTTTAAAATAAAAGATTTAAGCATCAACCATAAACTCTACATGTGATTTATTTTTATTTATTTCTATCATTTAATCGGTTTGAAATCAGGACGATTGATTCTAGTTTCTCAAAATAAAATAATATAATATTTTAATCCAATTCGAGTCGAATCAATGATCCGAAGGACAACGAGCAATGGGATCCCATCTAAACTATCTTTCTAAACGGAGTTTAGTTTTGTACCATCATCCGATGCTCTGCTCTGATGCGACACACTCGACGAAGTATTCCTCGCCTCGAACCACCGTCGAACAGTTGGTCGGCAAGTTAATTGCCCTTGTTGTCAAATCCCCTCACAAGAAGCTGTTGTTGACGAAGACCACTGCTTTCCTACTTTGACGATCTCAGACTTTGGTTCTTGGGAGGAACACATTTGGCCAGCGAGAGTCGAAGAAGAAGATAAATATATATTGGACTGAAACAATATTGACTTACCAACTCGTGAGATGTTCATACAAAACGGACGTCAGAGTCAACGATTGCTGCCGCCATAATCCACCATAGCTTGCTTTCGCATGTAAAAGAAGGTGTGGCCGTCCCCTACGTTTTCAGCATCCATGAATTGACTTACCGATCGTCCTTCTGTTTCTGCTCCGATGGAAAGGTTATGGGAGGGAGGCTAACATATTAGTCCCTCTAAATTCTAATATAGCAAAATATATCCCTTTATATATATAAATATATCCTTAACGAATATTAATAAAAAAATAAAATAAAAATAAATACATAAAATCCCTCACCACATGCAAACGTGAAAATTGCTAGTTCAAGAGTTATATATAAATAATAATTTATACAGAACATTTGTGATTTGAGAATTTTGAAAATAGAATACCATTTAAGAAAATCTAAAAAAGAGTATTTAATTTCCCATCTATAAAAATAAATAGATAGTTTTTATTTATGAAGTGGTGAAGACCGTATCTGATTCCAAGAATTTATCATTAATGATAGAAAATAACATCACTATCAATGTTTTCTATTTGACGGTCATAACTTATATAGTACCGAAATTTCTAGACCCAACTAATTATTAGTTATCGAAAGTCATACGAGAGGCTCCTAATTCATTTATGACAATGACAAACGCAATTAATAAGTGCAGTAATCGGTCCAAATGGTTGAATAAGCAATTAATACAACCCATTACCACGCAATGGACGTTCTAAAATCATTATATATGATCAATTAAGTTTTCGAACGAGACTTAAATGGATGGATTGTTGGGTCCAAATTAATAATTAAAAAAGAAAGCAGCGAACGAGGGCAATCGGTGCAGTGAAGAGTCTTGTGCATGCGCAACGAGCAGCGGCGGTGCACGGTGAGGGAGAAGGCAGAGAGCGCGCTGCGAACTGTGGCGGCGTGCGTGTATGCAGAGAACGACGGTAGTGCACAGCGAGAGGAAAGAGAGAGAAAAAGGAGAGAGAGATTAGTATCTTCAGATTTCTGTTTGATGATAGTAGCCAAATGTTATCGATTTTAATCCAAATTTTATACGAAAATTTTTTATAGTAAACTCTATAATCCTAATAGTGTTAATCTACGATTTACCGTCTCTGAAATACTTTTATGCTATATTTATTTTTGTGAGATCTAGAATTTTTTTGATAATGATATGTTTTTGAGTTAAGATTTATGTTTTTGATGTTATAGTTATTCTAGAGAAGATTTACTATAAACATGTTATCATTACTATTGATAGTAGAAGTTTGAAGTGGACTATGGTCCTGTGATTTTTTCATATTAGGTTTTTCACGTTAAATATTTAATCTTTTATGATTGATTTATTGCTCTATTAAAAAATTAGTTTATTTTAACATATTTTTCCATTGATGATAATAGCATTTTCTATTATTTGCGCCAACGAGGGCATAGATAGAGAATTCCGTGCCACATTTATATTATCATATCATATTTATTAATGATAATATATATATATATATTTGAGAATTAAACTCAATATTTATGATTCTAATATTTCAATATTAATCAGTAAATCAATATTATGCTTAAATTTTTTAATATATTTAAAATTTAAAAAAAAAAAAAATATTTTAGTAGAAGTTCGAAGACCATGAAAATTTACGGTAAGAACTTCAAGTTGAGTGAAAATATTCTAATTTTTATTTAATATTAATTATTAATAAATTTTATTTATATAATAAATAAATATTATTTTGAAATGTTACACATCTTTAAAGAAGATAAATATTATTGTGATATAACTGATGTATATTTTTAAATTTAATAATATGATTTCTTTTAATAATATTGTTAGATACTTAACATGTTATGTTATTTTTGTAGTACACAGATATGTGAGTATGAAAATTGAGTAAAATATTAATTTTAATATATTTATATTTGAATATTATTGTGATGTATAAACTTTGCAAATATGATATTATTATTATATTTTCTTAAAAAGATAATTAAAGAAAAATATTGGGATGGGAGATGAGGGATGAGAATAGCTCAACTTGTTCCATTAGTATCCTTAATAAAGATTTTATAAATATAAAAAATAAAAAATAAATATTAAACAACATATATATATATTTATATCCAGTAAAATAGAATTATAGTTGGTAATGGTTGACCGTTGACCTAAGGTTTAATGGGGAATACCAACGGCAGACGCACGCTACATTGGAATTTATATGGGCATACACATACTTTTTCGTGTGCATAAGGACATGTACGTAATTTTACTTGTGGATCTTGATTCGCGATTATTTAATGAGTTGGTGCGCTAATTTCTTTTACCCCTCACGAGGGGAAAGTATAATACGCGAGCCGTTGGTTTCTCCAATCTTGGGCGCGGCGGAGGAATAAATCCAAGATCTCCTCTACGCCTTCCTCTCTCTCTCCTTTCGATTCGTGTTCCTCTCTAGGGTTTTCTCTTCGTTCGCCCCAAATTTCTATAGCCGAGAGTGATGGGGTGGGGATCGCGGGATGTGGCTGCGTTCAAGTGCTTGTTCTTGCTCGCTCTCATGTTCGGGATCATGTCCTGCATCACCTATTGGATCATCCACATGAAGCACGTCGCTCCCCTCGGCCTCGACGCGCCTTCGGATCGCTTCTCGGAGGCGAGGGTCGTCGAGCACATCCGGCAGCTCACGGTCGAGATTGATGGGCGCCAGGTGAGTGGATCGGGGAGTTCGTCGTTTCCGATTGGTTTGGGTGATGAAATTGGGTTCTTCATGATATTTGGATTGCAGGAGGGTCATCCGGGATTGGAAGAGGCAGCGAAGTATATAAGGAAGGAGTTGGAGACTATAGCGTCACGGGCAGGACCCGATTACAGGTGACTTTATGGGTTCGAAAATCTAAATCTGTTTACGTGATGTAAAATATTGAATCAAGTGGCAATTCTTTGTCTTTACCTTCTGTTTCTTGTCGACAACCAATTACCGTTTTTACCTCATCGGCTCCACAATTAATTAGCCAAGGATGAAGTATGCTGGTGATGTGACCTTTTTTATAGCTCAATTGTTACTTAATTAGTGAGAGAACTTTTCTGAAAACACTTACTGTCAGAAATTAAAGCGAGTTAGTTTGCAGCTTGTTAGCATGCTGTTTAGGATTCCGATGAAGGCTTTAAGTTTATCACATGGTCTGTGACACATTGAATGTAGTTAGAAGCATAAAACTGTACATCCCGCTTATGCTTCTGAGTAATTTTCAACTAACTTTGCAGCTGGATCCTTCGCATGGGTTTTTTCCTTGCTTGATTATTACAGCCACCTGTTGTTGCTGGTTGTTGTACTGAAATATATACCACACGTTAGAGTCTAGAAATGTACATCCAGTGGTGTAGTGGGCTATAGGTGTGATCAAGCTCAGCTCTTGTTTTTCTCTGTTCTGCCCTATTTTGCATCTTCATCTTTTATTGGATTTTAAACAAACTTTAGATCGAATGAATTAACATGCCTGAAAGAAAAAGCCAGATTTATTTTCACAAAATCGTATTATTTCCTGAAAGAAAAGCCAATTTATTTTCAATACCTTGTTTGCTTGGTAATAATTGAAATTATTCGATACTTGCAATATAGATGGCATTTCACACTATACGCTGTCCATATGAACTGAGAACACATTGTCCACACTTAAATAGAAGGCTTGAGAAATTATGCTCAGAGGTCATGGAATATGTCTATATAAAAATTATGATAAAATATTTGGAGGCTGATAACTGGTCCAGAAAACAAACAGCTAAGATGGACAGTTGTTGCCACAATATATTTCTAAAGTGGAAAGTTAAAGGTGGTATTAAAAAAGGGAACTTGGAATAGTATATAGCATATACAGCTTTTTCTTCCATGCACCAGCTGGATTACTTGTCTTTAATTACTTTTTTTCTATTGTATGTGGTAGATACATCAAATATAAATCTTAACTCAGATATTCAAACTTTTGAGTTTTGATGGTTTAGTAGTGTACTGCAATTTTTCATTATTGAGGATTTGATCATTCCGCTACCCATTTTTAAGGATTGATTTAAGTGATTGAAAATTTCCATTATACTATTAGCTCTTGTCTAGGTGTCTGTTAATAGGACTGCTAAGTTTTAAACCATTGGTAAGTTACTAGTTTTTTTGCTTATAGTTTTTGTTTGACAAGATGGGAATCAGGACTCAAATTGTGACAAAACCAGAATTTTGAATTTGGATCTTGTTGGAACAGTCAGATTGGATTGTGGAATCAGATTTATTCAAATTGATCAACAAAAAGTTGGTACAAAATCAGAATGGATCAGTCAGAACCCAATTGATTGAGTCCAAGTTAGCCGGGTCAGAAACCGAAGCATCGCCTGAATTGGACAGGAAATCAACAATACATAGTAGGGGTTGGTCAAAAATGACCTGATCGATTGGGATCAGTCACACACAGCATTTTCTGAACAATTTCTGATTGAGTTTGATCTAGATATAGTTGATTTAGGCCTAGCCCAGCTGATTATTGATATTTCGAGTGCTTAGGTATCGGATCAGGTGAATGCAACCATATTGGTGCTACTATGTTGATTAGCTTTGAAATTAAGCTTCAGGTCCACCTCAGGGGAGGTAAAAGATGCATACTAAACTTAAGCTAGATGATTCATTGTGGGATTGGCTAACCAAACTGGTACTGATTTTTATAGTTTTTGTGGTTTGTATCAAATATTAATTTATGAAGAAATTTGGTTTTTATTAGTTTTCAAATGTAGGATATGACATTGGTCAACAAAAAAAGGTGCAAGAACTTGAAAATGAACAGGTTTATCTGATTTGTGTTTAGAGGGCACAATTTGTAGGAGTGATATTGTGGGTTTGGTGCTTGTAAAAGGAGGTGGAGGGTACAGATGATGAATAGAAACAGACTGGGGAAGGATCACTTTGAACTCACTCTTAAGTTTTTCGGACTTGCTCAAAAGAGACTATGACTGCAAAAGAACTTATATAAATAGTAGGAAATGTTCATCCATGTTCAAGTTTTAAAGTCTCTTCATATTATATAAGAATACAGCTACAAGTAAAATATAAAAATAAGCAAGGCAGAAAAGAAACATGGTGATCTCTAGCTGGCACTAATTATGCACAGACAATGCAAGTTGTCAATCATGCCATATTGAAGTAAGTCTTTCCCTTCTTTAAAGATTCTTGATTGTGGAAATATATTTCTTTGCTATGATCCTTTTTTAAAGATGGTTTTCTCATGGATTTCCCCAACTTGCAATGAATGTTCAACCATTCTCCATCTATCATGTGCCACTATTTGATCAAAGATAGTATCATGTTAGTCGCTACTGCTATTCCTTCCTAGCGAAGTATTACGAGGAGTTGAAGACTATAAATGCTAAAGCAGTTAATATGTTATTAAGTTCAGCCAAAGCCAAGCATGACCAAATGATCAGTGCCCTGGGACTACAGTTGAACTTTTTTTTTTTGTTAAAACTTGTATTTTGGACAAGGAAAGTCTCTATCACTTTCGATAAAACAATGTAAGATAACAATTAGATTATTAGTTGCTTAAATTTTGAGCTTTAGGCCGCACCTAGCGTTGTGGGTAATACATTTACATGACTATTGTATGGATTTTTTTATGGAAAAGAAAGGATCTGCAAGGATAACTAACTTGTGTTTTGAAACTTCCCTGCCAAGTTCCCTTGATGCTCTTCTTTTTTTAAATTCTCTCCTGAAAAAAGTTGACATATGATATCTCAACATGTTAAATGTAGATTTATAGGAAATTACTTGGAATTTGCAACATTTCAGGGCTTTATGTGAGGACTACCATAAGGTGTAATATCAAATGCCCTCAAAATTAATGAGCTAAAAAAATTAGTGTGCATCAGCAAGTCCTTTGGTTTTCCATTATGAGCTTTTAGAAGAAATATGTGATTTTGAAGAAGTGGAACATTGTTCGTTTAATTAAGAAGTTCATTATTTGTCAGATGTTGTAACATATTAGTGGAAATCCGAAAGCTAGACATCCATAGTTCTGAGTCTTCTGACTGGATATGACTTCAATGTTCCACACAAGTAAGGACACAAAAAAAATTCTTGGATCATTGGCCAATTAATGCTAAAAATTAATGGATTTTACTTTAAAGATGATCGTTTTATCTGTTTGAAACTTACTAAGTCAAATGAATAACTAATTATTTTTGGGTTGATCAATGTCCATGTTCATGCACAATTTGACATTGCTGGAAGGCATGATGCAGTACCTGCTGTTTTTGTACATACTTGTCGAGTTTACAAATTTCTTATGTTTTTAATCTGCAGAATAGAGGTTGAGGAGTCACTTGTCAATGGTACTTTCAATATGTTATTTTTACGGCATAGCATATCTCTTGGTTACAGGAATCATAAAAATGTAGTTATGAGGTACTTCCAGCTTTCTTTATCTCATATCTTGATAATGGTAATTACTTGCTTTATTATAAATACTTTTCTGGTAGTTTGTTCGTGCATGTTGTGCATTATCTTCACCCACTTGGGGTTGCTGCTTATGTAACTTTTAGGACTTAGATGACATGTCTTGGAGACTACATAGTCAGGATTGACATGTATAAGATGGTAATAACTGCTTTTTTTTTGTTTTTTCTATCAAGGGATTTGCAGATGGTAAGACTACATATTTGTGCATTCAACGTTGAATTGTATGTTGAATATGACTAATACTCATCTCATATGTGGTCTTTGTTCAATCACCTTCTCCCTAAGTTCTATAGCATGGCTCATTAGTATAACTTCTGTATAATTTTTCAGCAATGAATATTTCCCTTATATATCAGAGCTAAAGAACTTCTCTAATCAGTAATCAATTTTCTATTTGTACTAATCATCTAGATCAATGGGATGCATTTAGATTCTTTACTAGTTAATAAATTACGTCACTTCTCTATTTTTATATGAGAAAAAAAAATTATGATTTTTATACTTTGTTTAATTTTTGATACTAAATTTATAGTGGCTTTATTAAGTCACTTATGAAAATAATCTCTCTATCTTCACCTAACCATAACAAGCACTATCCAGTCCTGTACCTAATACATCTAGTGTTACCTAAATCACTAAACCTCCTTTCTTTGGCTTTAGTGCCAACCTATCAAAATCCTATCGTAAGCCTTATGTTTAGCCATATTTCCATTTTTCAACCACCTTTTATATTATAATATATCCTATAAAATACTTATCATTTTTATAGTACTGTCAAAATTTAGAAGCATTGTTTTTGCATCAATTTTTATACCTCTTCGCGCTACCACCAACTGTTCCTTGTTTCAATTCCGTGCATTTTACTCTTGGAGATTTCTTTTAGTACACTCTGAATCACACTTACCATTAAAATCCATCTGATATTTGTATCATTTTTCTCCAAGTTCTGAACCCCTTTCCCATTCTACTTCTTAATTGGTCAAACTGACAATTATTGATCCTTTATTGGGGATGCCACATATCAGTCTAACAGGGTTCAAATAGTAATAAAATAAATGGTGTAATAGAAACAATAGTGACTAGTAGGACTACATTGTCAGAACTTTTTTCAATTAGAAATGAAATGTTAAGTGAAAGAGGTAACTACCAGAATGGTTGGACCATATCATAAAGTAGAGGAATTGTTCAAGTCTTCAAGATATATGTAATGAAGTTGATGAAAAGCCTAATTATGGAACTTGTGCATCTCTTGGACAATATAGAGGCATAGAGCTATAGAAGTATTTCTCAGCCATAATAAACTTATGATGGGTATTCCATAGTTTGGCATGTAATTGATAACTGAAATCTATTTATACAAAATTGATAATCCTATATACCTCATATGCAAGAAATTATTCAAAATGACCTAAAAGAGATGTACATGAACCTTGACATTAGTTTATGGAGTCTGGACAATGCCTTAGCATATCGTGTGCTGGTGTTACTTGGTACCACAATTAAGATTTGAGGGAACTGTTAAGTATTCTTGAGAGCACATCAATCTTGAAATTTAAGCAATGTAGAACTTTTGTATTTTGTACCCATAAAATATCAACTGGCTCGATGATTACTTGCTCTTTCTTTCTATATTACTATTAGTGGACATCACTGCAGTTAGAAATTCATTTCTTTAATTCCTCCAAAAGTTATATAATATGTCAGGCCAGGAAGACACAGGAAGCTGGAAGGAAAAGAGGATGAGTTTCAAAAATGTTAAAGAATAGACACAACTGAATAAATCAAGGTTCCAAGACTACTGCTGAACTTCCTAGCAAAAGGATCATCATTAAACCAAGGTTTGCAATTTCGAATCGTACCGCCCATACCGGGCGGTCCACTCGATATAACGGCCTGGCTGCGGTGAGGCTAAGGGAGAAGCGTCGAAGAAGGAAGAAGAAGGAGAGGGCGTTCGAAGAAGAGGGAGAATCGGGAGAACCTTGGCGCAAACTTGTTTCCACGCCCTTTCTCGATCCCGATCCGACGCCGCCCTCCCTCGACGACCCCAATCCAGGAGGCAATGACGAGGAGAATCGTAAAGAGGAGGATCTGGAGGTGCGGGGATCGGAGGAGGCGGTGGCTAGAGCAGCGGAAGAGGCGGTCTCCTTCATTGCCTCGTCTGTGACTCTACGACTTTCTTCTTCGCTGAAGGTCTGAGACGTCTACGGTCTTCGACGTCTTCGCCGAATGCCGCAGACGAGGCGACGAGGAGAAGAGGAGGAGGCGATGTCGTTGAGGCTACGTACGCCTTTTTTAAAAATATTTTTATTTATTGATTTTTATATTTTTATATAAAAATTAATATTTTTTATAGTTTTTATATATTAATTATATATATATATATACACGTATCGCTCGGTATGCTCTGGCGTACCGCTCGGTATGATGTACCGTACCATACCGAGCAAAGCTCGAGACATCGGTATGGTATGAAATTTCAAACCTTGCATTAAACTATCACATCTAAGGGGTTGAGATTTGAGAACACATGAATACATCTATGTGATTGAGAATTGTACTCAAATTGAACTATTGATTAATTTTACACCAGCTGCAGATTAGCATAAATAAACAACTTCAAAGTGCACAACAATACAAAAAAAAAGAACAGTATAGGAAAAATAAATTCCTAGTACAAGATCTGCAAGGCAGGATAAAATAAAGGTAAATTGGTGTTGAAGAAAAAAAATTATCTGTTGAAAAATAGGGAACTTATCTGTATTAATGAAAAAAAACCTTTCACAGAATCCCACAATATTGCAATACAGAAGTGACAGTGCAATTTGGAAAATGCAGAAACAATGGCACAAGGAGGAATACAATCACTGGCAAACTATGAAGTCCCAAAGATAAATGTTTGGATTGTTGTGGTCAAAGTAAGGTGTATATTTCAAAGAAGTTTGGATGTCATAGCTTTCGTAATTATCCTATAAACCATTCGTATAATAGAATTATCTTTTCAATAGTTAATATTCCTAATTTTAATTGGCAAGTTTACAGTTAAGAACTTCAGTAAGGGAATACAGGCAATTTTGCTAAAATAGAATGAATGTATGTGCATCTGTGCAGCTTCCTAATTTTATGTTCATGAATTTTGAAATTTGATTAGTGGATGCCACTGTAAAATGGTGAAATAGACACTTAGACAGTGTTTCTGATTACTACGAAATCTGTGTAAGCTTTTACATATTTTAGGCAAAGGACTTTTCTCGACTTCCATGATATTCTCTGGACTTGAAAAGATCAGTTTTAGTTAGGAAAAAAGTTTGTCCATGAAGTGATGATTTAATTGAGCATAATGTCTTGTTAAGCCAACTTTTGTTAGGACAATTGCAAGTTTCTTTTTCAATGATGTTACAGTTCCAAGAGTTTTTGACAAATATCTAGTCAATTTTTTGCCACATACTGTGCAAACCTTACTCAAACTCTATTGAAGATTATAGAAGATAACAATAAGAGAAATACAAATTTAAAGATACAAGTGAAAGAAAGGGATGGACAGTGAGAAGGGGTTAAAAGAACAAAAATGAAAAGAAAATATAATTTGAAAGCCCAAGAGGAGGAAAATGGAGAAAGGAGAACTTGGTTAGAAGTTCAAACAATAATGTTGTTTTTCACTTATGTGTGGATAAGAGCAGAAGCGAAAGGAGGGGAAACATAAGGGAAAAAGGAGATAAAGAGAGAGCAGAAAAAATACTTCTAAGAGAAAAAGAAAAGACAAGGACAGGGACATGGTATGATTTTGATTGCATTAGAAAGCCAAGTGCTATCCTTTGATGGGCAACTTTAATCACTAACAGCAGTCGCAGCCAAGGATTGCCATTTTGTGGCATGGGAACATACTGGTACCATTTTGTCATGTCAAGATTCCGTGTTGTCCTGGTCAGCATGCCTTTGTTTCTTGTACATGCCAAAAATTTGAGGAAAAGAGAAAACAATGGTACAAAGCCTAATGTTTCAGGCTTAAACCCATCTGTCTTAAAACGATGGGCTAGCTTAAGCTCTATGGAGTTCTAAAATCTGCATGACATGAGTTTGTTTTGGGTTTTGACTGAAGCTCTGTTGTTTTGCTGATGGTTTTAAGTCTAAATGTGTTGGCCCATGCAGATTTTTGTGCATGATTCAACCCAATAACATATATGAAGTGAGCCTTAACTTAATGGCTAAAATAGTTACGGCCAAGTAGTCACTAGTTATGGCTTCAAGTTCTTTTATTTGGGTCTCAAGTCAAATAATTGACATTCTTATATAGGCATTAGATGTATTTGGGAATCCTTCACGGAGTTTCTCATGTGGAACCATGGCCTTCAAATGTGCTGTTAGTGCACATTATTTGGTAGTTCTGCTCCCCAGTCCCCTGATCAAGTTGAGAAGAAATATAACTTGAATATCTACTTGGTTCACTGCATTACAAAGAGAAGCCACAAAAATGTTTTAATTCCATTGCTATCTATCTGAAATGATCACTTGGCCTGATGATGTTATGGGGCAGGCCTCACTCAGTGGATCACATAAAATTAAAATATCTACTCTTCTCATAATAATAATAATGATAAAGATAGCAGGCATTCAAGTTCATGTATAATATTCATCTCTTTTATGATGTGAGATTGTTGAGGCATCACACACTATGGAGCAAAAAAATAATAAAAATACCCATGATGACTAAGGGTGCTTGTACACACATGTTAAAGCAATTCAATTAAGGTTGCCATAATTATAATTTTCTTTGATCTTTGTGTACTTTATAGTCTCAGATATGCTGCTTCTAACTGAATTAAACTAAATCACAGGATTTCGTCAAAATTGTCAAATGATCGTGATCCATCTATTTTGGTAAATGGACATTTTGATAGCCCACTTGGCTCTCCTGGTGCAGGTGACTGTGGTTCTTGTGTTGGTGAGTCATGTTATATTGATTGCTGACATTTTAAATTATGCTATTGATTGTTTATGCTTTTCTTATTTGTTTTGTCTTTCTTTTCAGCATCAATGCTTGAGTTAGCACGATTAATTGTTGACTCTGGCTGGATTCCACCTCAACCTATTATCTTTCTTTTCAATGGTGCAGAAGAACTCTTTCTTTTGGTAACAAACTACAATTATTTTAGGAAATAGACTATTCTTCGCCTCATTTCAATTACACCGATCACCTGAGCATACTTGGATTACCAACTTTTTCATTTTAGAAATGTGCATAACCAACTTGAACGCCGACTATTACATGTGGACCTTATTCTGTTACGAAATATTAATAGGCAGTCTTTGACAGGTTTTCAATATTTCTTATCAATCCAAAAGTCTTTCATAGGTCTTTTATGTTTCTTATGAATCCAAAAGTGATATGTGTCATGTTTTGGATTATACTTTATACTTTATACTTTATAGTTTATAGTATGTGCAAACATGCTCAATACCATTTAAAGCATTAAGGTAGTTTGCTGCTTCATTTTTCTCTTCAAGGACTAACTTTTTGCAAGAACAACTCTCTGCTCAAGCTATGCATAAAAATGACTTATGACTTTTTGACAGTCTTCTGCTTCCTTAGTTCTCTTACAGTACTAACTTTTTGCAAGAGCAGCTTCTGTATGCATCTCTGAACCTATTGTACCTTCAATTTTTAAGAAGCCTTTTTCAAAAGTTGTGTTGTTTCTTTTGATGCAAAATCTTCATAGAGGAACAATATATTTTCATTTTTCTGTCATTTTTGTCTCACCTAAATGTTTAGCACTGTCCTCTGCCACCACCTACACATACATTAAATTTGCTGGATATAAAAATCTCATTTTTCATATAACTGCCACGAGACAGAATGTTAGGTAAGAATGACAATACAGGTGCTTGCTTTTAGACAGTTTTATATCTTCTAAAGTATCATATTTCCAAGTTCTTTTAGCCAACACAAAGGTTTCAATTTGCACCGTCAGTGTGTGAATCTATTCTTACAAGCACGAAGGCCAACTGATATGAAATGGAGGCAATTTCATGGTGTCCACTCTGAAACAAAGTTTACTGCTCAGTAATCTCACATATTAGGCTTATCAGCTGGTAAGCCTACCACCTGAGTCCCAAATTTTTTTTTAATAAACCACTACCACCTGAGTCCCATTTTTTTTTTTTAATAAACCACCCCTGGATAGTTGTCAACAGGCTGTTGATAGCTCCTCTCTCCTGTTGACAGCCCCGTTCTCCCTGGAAACTATCACCCACCCTTCCCCCTTCTCCCTTATTGACAACTGTCTGTCCCCCTCGACAACTGGCTCCCATTCCCTCTCATGTGGATACCCACCCCCAGTTCCGAGAGTCTCCTCCTCCTCCTCTGTTTCTCTTCCTCCATTGCAGTTGCCTCTTCTTCCCTTTTCTCCACTGCACCTCTGTGTCTGTCTCTGCCTTTCTCTGTCTCTCTATATAAATGTTTCTCTTGTAGTAGTCCAGATGGTACTGAACTGTACCAACACTCATACGCCATATGATACTGTACCAAATAGGTTCAGTCATTGACCAGTGTCAGTAATGAATTGTGATTTTTAATCCTTCTTAACTAATTGTTTTTATTCCAAAATGAAACAACATTCCCAGACAAGGGCTTAAACACAAGCTGATGGCTATGTTAACAAAAATCAAATAGAAAAAAGTGAAAGAAGTTAGATGCGGCAATTGCTGTTTTATATATTCATCTGATAAAAGGAATAAGGTCGCTTGCTTTATATTTGCTTATTCATCACAATTATCTACTTGTGCTTTCTGTCTTTCTGCATTGTAAGATAATATGGGTTGCATTTACATTGATCTCCTGCCCCTATTTAGGACACATGAGCATCTTTAGGTTTTAGATCTTTCAACTGTGCAATTCATCGTGGATTGCTATGGGTTCCTGTTCAAAACAGGAAGCATATTCTACCTTGTAGACATGCTCATAAATATTTTATTCCATCTAGTTCTTTGATGCTTCCAATATTTGATAGTGTCCATACTAGCAATAATTGCTCATATCATAATTGGCATTATCAATCTAATATGAGCTTGCTGATTATTTTATTTTATTTTGGCAACATCCTGTTGCTTATGAGACACTTAAATAATCCATTAAAATATTCAGTGATGCAGATATTCTTCTTTGGCACTTCCATATCTGATATTTTCTAGGAGTACCTTCTTGTTTCCTGCAATCATATTTACACTGTTTAGGCAAGCGAAAAAGCACTTCTGATTGGCTGTCTACAGCAATAATCTATTAGAATATACAGTGACACAGATATTCTTCTTTGGCACTTCCTTATCCGATATTTCTGAGTTCCTTCTTGCTTCCTGCATTCATATTTACACTCTTTATGCAAGCGAAAAAAAACACTTCTGATTGGCTGTCTAAAGCAAAAAGGTGTTCTTAGTATGCAATTATGCTTTTCATACTGTAAATTTGAAATTTTGTACAAAATGCATATTAAAATAACTGAGAAGTCATAGTTCCTTTTACATTTTAGAAGCTAAATTTCCTTCATTGAACTGAAATTGCTCTATTCTGTAACAGTGTAACCCATAATTGTATATCTGAATTCTGGACATGAATTTTTTTCTGCATCTGTTGCATGAGTACAATGTCCAAAACATTTAGTTTTTTGTTACCTTATGAGAATACTTTCTGCATTCCTCAACAATTTATGTACTCTGACCTGTAAATTTTGCTCATAAATCCCAGGGTTCTCATGGTTTTGTCAAGACACATAAATGGAGCAACACAGTTGGGGCTTTTATCAACATTGAAGCATCTGGAACTGGTGGTTTTGGTATGATTATTTTTGTTTGAATCTAAGCTCGAACACTAACATTTTTCTCTTTGTTGGATTGAAGCCTTCAATGCTAACATCTTTTTATATTTTAACTTTACAGTTAAAATATATTTATTTTACATGGTCTCCTTGACTGTAAATTCTGAAGTAAGCTGGTTTTCTGAAAAATGCATTTTAGCACAATGTTGTACCAGGTCTTGCAGGGATGTTGAGTAAACCTTTATGTCCAAACAAATTAAGATCATATGAATGAGATTCTGATTGTACCATGATACAATATATGCATGGTAATAATGAGAAAATTTTGTAGATGCACAAATGTCTCTTCCAGATCAACATCCCGTGTGTTCTATACTGTAATTGCATACAAGTTACATCTGGTGGATTCTGTTGTTGCTGTTTAGAATTCCTACCTTGATAATTTTTTTCACCCAGCTAAATTATGGGCATTAAAGATGTAAAAATCTCCATGCTTCATTTATTCAGTAAGGATGCTTCACATCTTTACCTTTTTGAAATTCTAACTAACTTCAGTTATAACCTTTTTTCTCCATTTAGTCTTATGGTATGCTTCCAAAGCTCTTTTCTTTAATTTTTTTATGGCTTCTTTATCATTCACTATCTGCGTTTGCGTATAAATTTTGAATTCTGCCGTCTGATTTCTTTCACCTAAAGTAATTAACTTATAGATATAGCCAACCAATATTTCTAGGTTGTTGGCAAACTGAATGCTCCAATTTTTTCCTAGTTCGATCATATTTGAATGCAAGGTATATAGTTTCGAATGATGCCGCCCGGTACGGGTGGTACGCATCGGTCCAACAGTAAACCGGTACGCGGACCGCTCGCTACCGGGTGGTACATATATATATATATATATATATATATATATATATATATATATATATATATATATATATATGTGACGTAGCCTTGTTTTTCTGCGATGTCGCCCTGCCTGGGGAGAAGAGAGGTGACGTCGCACATTGTTATATATATATATATATATAGAGGCGACGTCTCCTCGTTTGGGGAGAAGAGAGACAACGTCGCCTCGCTTGGGGGAGAAGGGAGGCGACGTCATCGAATTTTTTTTTTACTTATATATATATATATATATATATATATATATATATATATATATATATATATATATATATATATATATATATATATATATATATAAGTAAACTGAACGGTATACCGTTTGGTATACAGTACCATACCGAGAGAAGGTCAAAACTCCGGTACAGTACGATATTTCAATTCTTGTTTGAATGTTAATAAACCTGAGGTAGTCAGGCTATGTTTGGAATTTTTCATCTAGAAGTTGGATGTAAGTAGTCCATTTGTTTGAACTTGAATTATCAAGTGATCTAGAGGCTGGATACAAGTATTCCATTCGTATGGACATGAACTATGAAGTGATGTAGAAGCTGGATGCAAGTGTTTCATTCATTTTATACTTTCTGTAAGATCTTAGCCTTGATATTTCTTTACATGGAAAAGAAATTTTTACTTGTATATCATTATGTTTCTTGAAGTAACTTGTATAAGTTGTGAGCATAACAAAATTTTGTAAAACTAGATTGTTGAATAACCAAGCATTTGACATGAGGTTACTTGAGGTTTATCTCTAAAACAATATTTTTTTGAAGGTTGATTAACTTTTTTTTTTCCTAATGATCAGATTTGGTTTGTCAATCTGGACCTGGATCCTGGCCTGCCCATGTCTATGCTCAATCAGCAAAATATCCAATGGCAAATAGTGTAGCACAGGTTATGTTTTCCTCTATCCTTGTTAGCCAATATGTTTTAAGTTCATTTAGAGAAACTATTTTGTTGAACTTAGCTGAATTTGATCCACATTTCTTCTTTTTTTCAACAAGATTTAAAGTGTACCTTTATTTTGGCTATCAGACCCAAGCTGGTCCTTGGCTGTACTGATACAGGTCTGGTCTGTCTTGTACCAACACACTTACCCTGGAACATACCATGTTACAAAGAAGGGGGAAGCAAGGAAGAGAAGAAGTGGAGGTGGCAGTGGAGAAGAAGAGGAGGGGAGGTGGTGGTGGAGAAGAAGAGGAGGGGAGGTGGTGGTGGAGAAGAAGAGGTGGCGATGGGATACAAGTCTGCAAGAATTCTGTTCCATACATATTCAAATTTGAAGGAAAGGATTGCAATTTCGGGTATCTGACCTTGTTGATCACTGGTCGGACTGGCATGTACCCAATATTAACCAGTGTACCATTGCATGATATGTTGGTATGTACCACAGTACCAGAAGGAAGAGGAGGAAAGGAAGAAGAGAAAGAGGAGGAGAACATCAAGAAGAGGAGAGGAGAGAGGAGGAAGAGGCAGCGAAATAGCAGGTTGAGGAGGAGATGGCAACAAAGGCAGCGACATAGGAGGTTGAGGAGGAGATGACATACATGGTCATTAGCAGGCAGCATGACAGTGGACATTGTAAAAGGAGGTGACAGGCAGTGTGATATTTTCACACTAGAGAGGTGTGAGGGTTGGTGGTTAAGGGGTTTTTAGAGTTTTTTAACATAGTTTTTTTAGAAAAAGAACTGGACAGTATGCCTGATTTAGAGTATTTACCGGGCGGTAATTCCTATACCGCATATGGGTTGCTTGGAATTGGATGGTTCACATGCAGATCCATGTTGTATCAGCAAATATCAGCCGGTACATATCGGTCCTGGTGAAATCTCATTCCTTGATTTAAGGTGACATGATATATGCTGCTTCATACTATACCTCACATAATTCATATTATGATAGCTTTGCAGTTTTTGTCCAGACATATAGTTGGGGTAAACATAAGGTGTTAACTTAAGACCTAAACTATGAGGGTTCAAGGCAAAAAAGTAACTTTCTTTTGTTTATGTATGCTGAACTACTTACTTTATTATGTTTCTTGGAACTTAGAAGAGCTTTTGGTTTGTCTTCATGTTTATGTCCTTTAAGTTTTGAGATTATTATTATACATACACTTATATCACGTGTGGTTGGTAACTCAATTACGTTGTACAAACAGGATATGTTTGGCATTATCCCTGGTGATACAGATTACAGAATATTTGCTGAAGATTATGGCAACATTCCAGGACTGGATATTATCTTTGTTCTGGGGGGTTACTTTTATCATACCTCTTACGACACCGTGGAAAGGCTATTGTATGCATCAATTATTGTCTATTAAGAATTCTATAACTATTACTAGAATTTAATATGCATTATTGTGATTTAAAAACCTAAAGCTTTCATATATCAGACCTGGAAGCATCCAAGCACGTGGCGAGAATTTGTTCAGGTTGACTAAGGCATTTGCAAATTCTTCTTTGCTGCTAAATGCTGGTGAAAGATCTCTAAAAGTTGCACCTCACGGAACCATGGAGGACCGTGCTGTTTTCTTTGATTACCTATCTTGGTTCATGGTATCCAGTTCTACAGTATTTGTTCTGCAGCCAGTTATTACAAAATTAGCATAGTACTCATGCTTGATCATCCACCTCAATGAAGGGGATAACAAATCCAAGTTTTTTTCTTGCCTCTAACTACACAAAGTAAACAACATTTTCTTGTATGCTGTGTTTCAGATATATTACTCAAGGAATTTGTCCGTGGGACTTCATAGTTTGCCTCTGGTTGTATTCCTCCTCATGTCATTGTTTCTGCATTTTCCAAATTGTGCTGTTAACCTCTGGATTGCAACATTATGTGATTTTCTAAAAGGTAACTACTCATCAATACAGATAAATGTTTTTTTTACACTAATTCCCTTTACTTTATGTGTCCTGTACTCTTGTATTAAGATTTTATTTTTCCTACACTTATGTTCCTTTTTTACTGTGATATCCTGCTCTTTGAAGTTGTTTATGCTAATCTGTGGCTTGTGTAAAAGTTTTAACTGATAGTTTGATTTGAGTATAATGTTCTCAACCCCATAGATGTGATAGTTTAAAACTTTAAATGTTTAATGATGATCCATTAGCCAGGAAACTCAACAGTAGTCTTGGATACTTGATTTATTCAGTCTCCTATTTTCTTCTTTTTTTTAATCACATACTCTTTTCCTTCCAGCTTCCAGTGTCTTCCTGGCCTTAACATATTATATAGCTTTTGTCTGAATTAAAGAAATGAATTTCTAACTGTGGTAATGTCTACTAATTGTAATACAGTAAAAAGATCAAGTAATCATCAAGCTAGTTGATCTTTTATGGTTACAATATACAAAAAAAAATTAACTGTATCTTCTATCTGTAATGCTTAAGCTTCAAGGTTGATGCAATATCAAATTCTTAAAGTTCACTCGGATCTTAATTGTACTATCAAGTAACAACAGCACAAGATATGATAAGGCATTGTACAGAACTAATGTCAGTGTTCATGTATATCTCTTTTTAGATTATTGTCAATAACTGCTTGCTTACTAGATATGTAGATTTTGTATAAATGGATTTCTGTTATCAATTACTTGGCAAACAATGGAATACTTGCTGGGAGAGGGTAGTAATCAAGCAATTTAAAGCAAGAATATCATTGTCATAAGTCTAGTAAACACTTAGCTAAATCATTACATTGGCCGAGCAACACTTACAACTTCAATTCTCCAAGAGATGCAAGTTTTCACCAGATGAGAGTTTTTTTATCAAGTTAATTATATATATCTTGGACATTTCTTCTATGTTTTATGATGTGGTTTAATCATTCTGTTAGTTACTTGTTTAACTTAATATTTCATTGTAATTGAAAAAAATGCATTAGTGTCATGCTAGTAGTCACTATTTTATCTATTACTCCATTTAGTTTATTAATATTTGAACCCTATTATAGTTATAGCCTTATACCAATATACTTTGAAGTTTGAAGTACAAGTCCAATATTGATGCTAACCTCAATGTCAATACATATTGGTATTATTTTGTATGGATTTGGCTAGTCGATATCCATATTGGAGCCACTAAAATCTCCATTTCCTCTTTTTTTTTTATAATTTTGTGATATGTTATCTCATGCAGGGAAAAACATAACAAGTAACTAAAATCACTAGAATTAGCACAGAACACCAGTAACATGATGTATGTTCAAACCAACGATTTCAATAGGCGCTCGGGCGCTTGCCTAGGCGTTTGGGCGAGGCGAGGCAAGGCTCGAGCACCTCGCTTCAAAGAGGTGCTGCCTGGGCGCTCGCCCGAGCCCAAGCGCCGAGCGCTTAGGGAGAGCGCCCGAGTTAAATCAGGCAACTGAACCAGTGTTTTACGTCTGGCTTGATCTTCGGTGCTTTAGTTGGTTCAATCGAACCAACTAAAGCACTAATATTAGACTCTCAGCATCCCTCTCGCGACTTCTCTAACCCTAACCTTGCTCGCAATTCTATCGTTGACATTTCTTCTCTGCCGCCTCTCTCCGCTGTCGTTGCCTCTCTTCGTTGTCATTGCTCTCCGCTGCCGCTGCTACTGTTGCTGCTGCTACTGCGACTCTCGCCGCTCCTGTTGCCGTTGCTCGTTGCTACCGCTGCTGCTTCTCTCAGTCAGCAATCTCAGTCTTACTCTTACATTGCGCCCTCGCTACCGCTACCGCTGCCACTACCACTGCTTGCCACTGTTGTCGTTGCTCGCCACTATCGTCGCTCCCGCCGCCGCCGCTACTGATACTCTTACTCCCTCTTCTCACATTGACTCGATAGTATACTGTTAACAGTATATTAACATTATATTAGTAACAATATTTTTTTATTTATTATATTAATAATATATTATTTTGATTTTAATAATGCTAATTTTTATTTATTTGAAATTATTGTTATTATTTTGAATTTTGAGATTTTTTGTTAATGTGATATTATGATTTTGTAAGATTTTTTTAATTCAATATCATATTTTTATTTAAATAATTATATTTATTAATTATATTATATATTTTTATATTTTAGCACATCGCTTCGCTCAGGCGAGCGCCTAGCGCTTTTTAAATCACTAGTTCAAATTTCAAACATTACAAATAAGTACAATTATAAGACATAATAAAAAAATTACAATCTTGGTATCCACAATATAAGAAGGGTGAACTCAGTATATGAGGCTCTCGCCAATGCATATTATTGGTGAGTTTTAACGAATGGTGTCCACATCATACATATCCTTTTTTCCTAATACTAAAATGTGTCATGTTGACGTGGGAGCTGCCTTCGGGCAGAAGTCAATTTGATATATTTTTACTATATAAGAATGTTGTTGCTCACAGTTCACATTTTGTGCTGGTAGATGTACCGCATATTGATAAGATTATCAACCCATGTAGGTTCTCGATATTTTTCGTTTATGTGGTGCTTTATTTGATAGATGTGTTGAGGAAGGTCTGATGGTAGAATCCACGCAAGAACCAATTTTTAAGCACCATTTTGCTCATTACATTAAGTTCACTTTGATTGAACATTTTGAGAATGTCATTGTCATAATCCGACCCATAAAATCATGCTACAGGATGGTGACCATGATGAACATTTATCAGAGACTCAATCTTGGCAGTGCTCTCTATCATCATATACTTGAAATTAGCTCCATCTCAACATGTATACACCTATATCCATGCATATTTAACCTAAATTTGCATGTGTAGCCTAGAATCTCGTGGATCCAGTCTAACTTCAAGTATAGTTAGACTAATTTCATGCAACTAAAGCATGCAGTCAAGTAGACCTAGATGAGATGCAAGCAAATCTATGCTTGGTCCATGTAGATCTAGGATATCTTTGAGTTAACCTATGCTTGATCTAGCCTGAAAGTGAGATTATTATGACATTGTATCTTAATGCAAAAAAATCTAAATGCTAATTAAAAATTTTGTCCCGATTGTGGATGGATTGGAGTGAAAGATAGTATGGGACGGTGTCACTGCAAAGTACTTAAGACGAGGAAGAGACTAGAGAGGTGGGAGCTTTGACCAAAGGTTTCATCCAAGGAATCTTCTTAATAGGCTTTTGAAAGGGAAGGGCCTTATGCCATGTGGTAGGCTTAGGGCCCAGTATGAGATCAATATTTATGAAATAGCAGGTGGTAAGTTGAGAACTCGAGAAATATGGGGCAGTGAGCTTGGATGAGAGACTTATTGCTTAGTAAGGCCTGGTCCTCTTATCATACTTGGCTAGGACCAGTAAATACCAGTCATGTTGTGCATGTCCAATCAGTATTTCGTATCCTGGAATAGAATTACATATCACACTACTAGTTTTAAGTTAGAAATATGAGAAAAACAGGAAAATGATCAAAATGTTGCATATAGTGTTTGTAGAATTTAACTTTATTTGAGCATGATGATAAGATGGAGAGAGGGAAGCAGAAAGAAGTGGAATGGAGTAAAGGGTAGACAAACTAGCATACTCAAGTAAAACACCCAAGGATACAAATATCCCATGACCGAGTATAAAGGACTTGAAGTCACCCTCCAAGGAATCCACCTAAGACTTACAAACTTGAAAATGATAAGAAAACACGTCTCATTCTCAATAAAATTATACTTGTATTCAAACCACTTTATTCCTCTAAATCTTATGAGACATGATATACAAGGTAGGTTTGGAACAACCCTCCAAGCATGGGTGATTCACAGGGCATTAAATGTTCACCATTTTGAGATCAAAATACATGTAGAACTAATTAAAAAGTTATATAATAACTAAAAATCACCTAGAAACTCCAAAAAGTGAGAAGAATTTTTTATAGTTCACATGTGGTATAGCCACTATGACCTATAAAAAAAGGCGGTATGTACCGGTCCGATAGGGGACTGGTACGGACGATACATATCGATATGTTGGTACACCCCACCGATCTGTCGGTACATCGGTATGGTTCGATATGTACCATACCGACTGTCGGTCGGTACACCGGTACAAACATATAAAGTGAACCATGGTATAGAGAAATGAATATAACATCCTATTAAAAGACTTTACATTGAAACCTGTAAGATGCTTTGGATTCCTAACTCATTGAATTTTGAAATGGTATAATATCCCACATAGATATCTCAGTATTAATTTCAGAATTTATTTGAAACAAGTCCTAAAATTTTGGTTAACTGGAGAACCAAGAGCTTAATGTGAATATTCTGAGTTCTCTTGATTCAAGGCATAGAAATGCTCCTGTGTCATTAAACTCTAGAATCAACTACGAATTGATCATATAAATTTTAAATCTTAAACTAATGGAACTTTAACCCTAACCACTCAATCCAGACCTAGTTAAACAAAACACGGACCAGTTGGAAACCTAATTGCATCACCAACGATGTCTGATTTTTTTATTCAGGTTGAGCAGTGAGTTTATCTATGTGGTTATTTCCAAAAATCATGTAAAGTTACCCAAATAGATTAGTATCTCCAACTTATAGATCCTCTAGGAGATTCAGGTTACCATTTTCAATGCTTTGATTTGATAGTACAATCTCCTAGTTATAGAAGTTAGTAGTCATTCTAAATGCATAGATTAATAAAATTTTGAATTGGTAAATCTAATGTATTTAATCAACCAACACTACATTTAATCAAAGTCTGTGCACCAATTTCTGGTTTTTTGTCACAATTTGATTTAAACTTTCAGTAGGATATTTTCTTTTCCCTCTTGTTGTGTTATACTATAGCTTTGTAATTTAGCAATTTATACAATGTTATCGATGCTTTTCATGGTCATATTTTTAAAAAAATATTTTTTAAAAGATTAGTCTATGACTTACCTTTTTTCCTTTTCTACAGGGACATTGTTTCATGCTGTTAGTCTTGTTTCTGCCATTGTTCTTCCAGTTGTATTTGCTGTGTTGAGATTATTTTTCTCGAGCCAGGCGATGAATTGGTAGGGATCGTTTCTGTCTCCAAAAATGTCTTCACTTTCCTATTTTTCAGTATCTTACGTGGTGTTTTAGTCCTAACTAGCTTATGTATAATATTGATTGAAGTATCAAAGTTTCTCAGAAGCCCTTCTAAGTAATTATTAATACATATGAGCTAGCATTCCTTGTGAACTGCTGTTTTTCTGCATCGTAACATTGATAAAAGGTAAGATAGCAATTGATAACTTAATTTAAATGACTGTTGATTGGTTATTTCATCTAGGATGTTTTGCAAAGTTCTTTTGAGGAATTTGCTGTCAGGCACTCTCCTGTGAAGTGCAGGGATAGTTACTGTAGCACTGTAGCAGTTTGAAATACCATACTGTATTGCTACAGTACTCGGTACACCCAGGTATACCATACCGTACCGGTACCGAGCCCAGGTCGAAATACCGGTACGGTACGGTATTGCGAACCTTGCTTTAAACTGTGTTGTATTTTGTAGTTGTTCGTTGTTACTTGTTACAACAAATAAATATTCTAGAATCCCTTGTTTACATAGAAGGTATTTTCCTACTATGAGTCCGTAGTTTTTTTCAACATATACAAAGATGATTTTATCAATTTCTTTTTAAAAAGTAGGATAATGTAATATCTGATTCTTATTTCTCTTAAGAATATTAAATATTATAAATATGGTGGAAATTTTGCTGGGTATATGGACTGATGAGAAATTTATAGGTTTGCTCACCCTTTTTTGGCGTTCTTGATGTTTGTACCATGCTCACTGGTTGGTCTGTTGCTTCCAAGAACTGTATGGGGATTCTTTCCGCTTTCACAAGATGCGTCACATCTCAATGTATCAAATGTGGTATATGTTTTTCCCTTATTTTCTTAAAGGCCCAATATTTTTTCCACTCATGATGATACTATCCTTTAGAAGTTAATTACTAGAAACTTAAATATTTGTGTACCCACTTAATCTTCTAACTTGTGTATTATTCTCTAGCAAAGATCAAAACTTATTATGGTTGGTAACTCAACAATTGACAATGTTTTGATAACATATTTTCTATGATTCATCTTATCGGTCTGCATCGATGTACCGACCAGCTATCGGTATGGTACGTACCAAGCTTTACTGAGCTGTATCGAGTATACCAATACATGGTACATGGGAGCATACCGATATATCGCCCGTATCGGTCCCCTGTCAGATTGGTACATACCGCTCATATTGAGCGGTATGCCATGGTATGACGAACCTTGATATTTTCAAGTTGACTCATTGGCTACATTACCATTGGATATTGTATTTCTATTATTTGCAACATATTTATTATTGCTGGAACATTTTCTATGACCAATGAACATTTGTTTTCATGGTTCTTTCTAAAGTGCAAGATATCATGGTTTTTGTTAATCCTTGAATTAAAGATGAGGGCTTTGAAGTTTGAGCCATAAACATCTCGAGATTGATTAACAATGTCCAGGATTTAGTCTAACCTTTAACTTTACAAACTATGTTTTCAGTATTACCATTATTGTTCATTGTGATATAGACAAAAATACATTGTAATGCATTAAGATGCAATGGCAATTAGCTCATGGAAGTCGTAAAAATGTTCATAATAATTGGATTTTTGTGCTGTTGTATCTTAAATGAACATGTCAATAAGCCTTCTTTGGGTGGAGAATATGGAGAGCTACAATGGTAGAGTTTTGTATGATCAGTAGACACCATTTAGATTAAACGGAAAATTTAGAACATAGGTGTTTGGCTAGTGATACTATACAAATATAAGTATTGGATGGTTAACCACATATACAAAATTATTTGTTATTTGAGATGAGAATGTTCAGATATATGTGTGGAGTTACTAAAAAAAAAAGAAATGTTTCATTCATGAAAAATTAGTTATGGCTCTGATAAAGAATAAAATGAGAAAAAATCGTCTAAGATGGTAACGAGACATTTCTATGTTGTAAGAAGAAATTAGACAATTAGGATTAGAGGATTAATGGTACTAAGCAGGATAGAAGGCGACCTATATTTATTTTACATAAGGTATCTATTCTGTTTATTTTGTTGTATGTTGTAATAAAAAAACAGGTTGCCAAAGGAGTGTTCAGTGATTTAATATTTTTTGTTTGAAATACTAAATGGCTCTGTATTTACTTGTTAGGTTCTATCTGATAATGCATGCTTTTGGGGAGCTTTTGGACTATATACTTTTATAACTATGGTAAGTTTATTGGTTTTTACTCTGTTACATGCCTTTTTCAGTTATGCCATCTCCATGCAAATACCTTTTTTCCATGAGTATTTGGTTCTATACAATTTGCAAATGTAGTAATGTGGAGACAATTCAGTAACATTTGTTCACCTGATTGTTGCTGGAATATCTATTGAAATTTTCTCCTTGAACATCTTGTACCCCATGAAAGTTAAAAAGAAGTAAAGATGATTTGTTTAAGTGTTGAATGTCTTAATATTGACCCTTTTGTCATAGGTGATTGAAATTGACTTGATAACTTGATTTTGTATGCATAGAATTGTGCGGATTTCTATGTTCCATCTGTACAAAGATAAATTCTGGTTGAACATCATATGTTTAAGATATCATTCCTTCCTTTTTGATGCTTATCATCCGCCTGATAGTTGCTTTGAACTTGTATTAATATCTTTAGTTATTCTGGTAGCTGGCAACACTGCAGTATGAGATATTTCTAGTTTCTACCTAAAGTTAATGCCACTATGCTATGGTGGTTAGTTGTTACTTGTTTGAGCTCATAAACCTTTTGAGACCTGGATATGTTCAGTTACATTTGAGCATCAGCCCCTTACGAGCTTGCGGAGATTGTAGTTCGTGTGCTCTCTGTAAGTTTTTTGTGTTCACACAAAGGTATAAATTGATACGGGGTTTATCTCCATGACTTTCTGCTTTATCCTTACTATATCTATGCCATTTCATGTGACCAGACAACTAAAAGTTTATTGCCTCAGCTTGTCTTTAAGCTTTATATTGGATATCACTTTATTAATGGAAAGCTGTTTTATGGCCCAAGCTAGATCTGAGAGGTCCATTGTTTCATCAGCCACAGCATTGGCATGTTACAGTAAAATATAGTGGAAATATGAGTGGTAGTACTGCTGTACTATCAATTTATGTTTCTGTATATATATTTAAACTACTCAAAAGGAAAATGAGCAAGTCTAATGCACAAGGCTCCTGCCAGTATAGGTCTGGGAAGGCAGATGGGTTGTTTATGACTATTTCTGATCACCCAAGTTGCAAATAAACATCTTAGAACAACAAGGATCACCTTTTAAAAACTACATGGAGGATTATATGCAAAATTAATTTGAAACTCAATATTCAATATTGAATTTGTGCTTTTAGAATGAAGTACAATACTACCTATACAACACAATCATGATTCCAAATTACTCTTTTAAGACAATGGTCATCACTTTATGCATGGATACTTCTAAGACCCGAACACTCAATCAAGTTACACTATTGGTGCTTCCACGTGAACTTTTGAAATTTCATATAGACATACTATGATAGAGTCATCTTTTCGTTTAAAATTTGTAATATTAGGTTTGGAATATTTAACTATATTTTCACAAGTTGGTTTTGTTTCATAAGGCAACATTGTAGCTGGTGCATTTACTTGACTTATATGTTAATGAAGCCATCTTTTTGTTTAAAAACATTTCTAGAAGTTGTTTCTTTACGAAGTTATGGTGCAGCTAGTGCATGTACTAACTTTAATATTTGATCTCTAGATTTAGATATCTATCTTATGTTGTACTATAAACTATAAAGTACGTTGCCTATATTTGATGTTGACGCTTTCTAGAAGTTGTTTGTTTACAATGTTACAGTGCAGCTAGTGCATCTACTGACTTTAATATTTAATCTCTAAGTTTAGATATTTATCTTATCCTGTACTTTAAAACACGCTGGCTTTGGTCATTTACCCTTTGAAGATATTATCTTGTACTTTCCAATGTTTCCATAATATTTATGGAGTTGCCATTATGGTTCAAGCTGTCAAGACAATCCTTTTAAGTTCTATTGGCTAGTTACTTCTAGTTATATGACATGGGTCACATTTGCTTTGTATATCCTATGTTGGGACATTTCTTTCTTTTTGGAGCAACACTTGACGGATTCATGTGTCAACTCTTCTATAAAATATTAATTAAATAAGGGAAGTGTATCAACCACAAAAATAACAAGTTCCCAACTAGTTGGATTTAGCTGCATGAATCCTTTCCTAGAATCCTTATGCTTTGTAAAGGGAAACATCAGACAGCGCTATCTAGTTAAAGCCAATCTTTTTTATTATTTCAAACAAAGACTTCTGTGTACTTCCTCTAATTCTCATAGCACTGCTTGTGAGCTAGTCTAAATTAGCTTCTGTGATCTGGCAGTGTATATTTAGATTTTTTTGTCATTTCCAAATATTCTTAAATTATTATTCTTTAAATTATCTCCAATTAATACTACCTCTGATTTTTTCAAAGATGCAGCACATATTGTTTCATGTTATATGATAACTTCAAAACTTTTTTCAGCTTTTGTTGTTATACCATCTTAGGCAAGCATGTGAAGAACTTTGGCTTCCCACTATACCTTTTTGTAGTATATGCTCTATTATAGATTGGACCTTGGCAAAAAGAAAAGATTGGACCTCCTCTAGCTATACTCAACTGTGCCATTCTTTTACATAATTAGTCTTCAGCAATCATTTCATGGCTTAATTTTGCTTATGTTATTTATTGTCACAGACTTACAGTTATCTGCATGCATTTTTTATTAGATTCATGCCAAATTATACAGAAGAAACATTTATTTTGAGCAGGTTTATCTGCTAGCTCAGCTTGGTGGTGGTTTCTTGACATGTATGATATCATTGTCTATGCTGCTTGCTTGGTTCGCTTATTGCATTATGAGAAAGCGTTGTGGCCGTCAATCAATCAAGTACTTTCTATGCACCCTTGACACATGCAAGCTTTTGTACAGTGGTTCAGCTTTTTGCCTAACTTTGCTGAAGTACTTGGGACAACTTCTTGTCTCTTATGCATAAAATCGTTGCTACTTCTCTAAGACATTGCCCAACTAAAAGTAGTTAACAAATATGTTTCACATGACATCACCATCGAACGAACATCATAAGTAAGAGTATCTTAAAAAGTCAATAAATTGCAAATATAGATGAAGCATATCTTTTTCCACTTTAATGGTTAAGACATCAGATCATTGCCTGCCATGCTATGGTCTTATTGAATTGTCTTTGCACCTAATGTTGCACATTTTACATCACATGAATGCAGTGTATATTTCAGATTTCTTCTTTTCTTTTCTTTCAGTCTGCACTTTGGACAGTAAAATGTGTTCTGGTTCCCACTTCACCAGTCTTTGTAAAATAACTTCTGGGCTAAACATATGGCACTGTTTTTATCCTCTAATTGCCTATGATGTTGAGGTTTACGCTGAGCATCAGCTTGATCATATTGCCAGTGAGGAAGGCCATGCAGTATACATGTTACATCACTTCATATTGCCAGTGATGTAGTGCATCATATGTTTTATGTGGTTAACCTATTGATGAAAATGTATAAAGAAGTTTGAAGAGTCTAACCAAGGACAGAGGTAAGTAAGCTTGATAATGATGGAGATGATCTTTGGGAGAAATAAGTTGTTTGCTATGGTTGTATTGTAGTTGGTGGAAAGAAGAAACTGATCAAGGTGACTGCAAGCACAGAGGTGCATCCCAGTAAATGGGATCATAAAAAAGTGTGCCAGATTGGTGCACTGACCAACGTCATATAGTAGTTTTTGGTAAATAAGGTAGATAATTGGTATAAGGACATAAAATATTGCAAAAGAAGATCACATTTTATAAGCATAATGAATGAAGAGCCAACAGAAACCTCCATCCAGGCACAGCACTGTGGTTGAGATGCATTGAGTATCACAGCTGTCCTAGAAAAATTTTGAACTGATCATCGTACTGTTGATGGAGAAAACACAGCAGTGGTATGCATTAAGTTTTAAAACAAATGTTTAGCCACATCAGAAGACCGCATTGTTGTCTTGTATCTTCCTGGCAATGCTTCGGAGATTCAGTAAAGGAGGCTATCCTTTGGTATGACTACAAGCAGAGTGATCTTATATCTAGCTAAATTTCTAGAGGGAATAATACATGTCGAACTAACATTTATTGTGACATGTATTGTATTCTTCACATGGATCCAAATCAGATTGAGCCTGAAGGAATAATAACATCAATGAGAGAATGATGATCGTTACTGGTCTTAACCCATTGGAACACAACTTTAAGAATAAGAAATATTCTTCTGTAGAAAATGATTAACCTGTAAATTCTTAGACGTTCAAATTACTGAGCATATAGTGCCATCACTAAGTTTCTTTTTACATGAAAAAGTATGCAAGGAGCAATTTTCTGGGTATTTTCCCACCATACATGAAATTTCATGGTTTCCAAGATAGTTCTATATAGCAACTGTTGATAATGCAACTTATGGTGGTCATTCTTCCGTGTACATGATAGTAATTTGTTTTCATTTTCATATAGCATAAAAATGAATGTTTATCTTCAAGTATCATGTTCTTATGTACTTATGCTTACAGGTCATTAGCAGGATATGTAGTCCCTATGATCCCCTGCGTTCTATACAGTGTTTACTACAGTGGGTTTCTTGTCCAATTTTTGATTGAGAAGATGGGTATGATGGGCTCTCTTCCACAGCCTTATGGTTAGTTTTCTGCTCTTCTTTTTTTATATCTTACATGTCTTTTTTATGCCAATCGCTTTTTTTGAATAAATTTCCAGACAGTTGTTTTTGATAATTATCTTCTTGCATTCACTATCCAGTCGCTTTCACAATTGAAAATAAAAGCTGTTCTTCTTTTAGTAGGACCAAGTTTTCAAGCAATTCATTCTGACAAAAATCAGAATTAAGATTTAATGGTACTCAGAATAATTTACTTCCTTAAGGTCTCTTTTGTTCCTAATGCTTTGATGCTCTTCTTATGCTGAACAACACTTCAAAAGGATGTAGTTACTGGCTTACTGCTATGCTGAAGTTGGGGAAAGTTCTCTTATTCTTCACTAATATTCTTGTTTGTATGGGTTTAGCTACATTTGAATCCTGTTATAATTTTATGTGGTTATACTTTAAAATAGCCATGGGCCAATAGCATAGCAAATTTTCATGGCTGGTTAAAATTTTTTATACTTGTCTAGCTGTCAGTAAACTGTTAAAGTACAGTAAACAAAAATGAGTTGCAGTATAGTTGATGCTAAAGTTGTTCTTAATGCTTGGATTTCTTACTTATGCTGAACATTGTTGTTAAAGTCGCTAGGCCTGAAAAGGTGCCAAGCTTCCAAAACGCATGCTCGCTTGAGCGAAGGGAGGCGCTCATCAAATATAAAATGATAAAAATGTATTTCTGGATAAAAATAATCATTAAAATAAAAATGAGATAACACATGAGTTTCATGTCATTTCATATTCAAAATATCATCACTAAAACATTAAATTACATACGTTTAACCACTAAGATAAATGTACCATCTATAATGAGTAGGAGAGAGAAGTGGTGGGTGGTGATTGAGAGGCAGGGGAGAAAAGGGGGAGGAGGGCTAGGGGAGAGAGAGCCCAAAACGGAGAGAGAAGCGAGAGGAGGGGGCTTGCACTGTTGATGGAGAGGAATATCGGAGAAGGAAGTCGTTAGGTGGAGGAGATGGCGTTTGAGATTGCAAACACTGACAATGTCGGTAGAGAAGGTTGTCAATGGAAGGAGGCGGTCGTGGTGGATAGTGTCGCTTTGTTAGGTGGCGGAGTCTCGATTCTAGTGAGAAGTTTCAGTTGACAAAGGAAGCAACATAGATAGCAATCATCGGGAAGATTCGATTGTTAGCTAGGGTTTCTTCCCATTCATAGAAGCGCATTGAGGTGGCTTGAGAGGTGTTGCAGTTTGTTCAATTGGTTCAACTAAATCATCTGTTTTGACTGCAAATCAAACCCATACACCTTGTTTAACTCAAGCGTGCACTTGAGCCACCTAGCGCTTGGGCCTCTGGTATGCCTGGGCCATGCTTAGCCCTATTGCTTGCCTGAACCCAACTAGAGGCGCTCGTAGCCTTGCTTGGGCACCTAGGCGAGTGCCTGAGCTCCCCTTAATAAAACATTGATGCTGAAGTAAACTGCAATTACATGTGGATGCTGACTTACTGCTATGATCAAGTAGTGAAGATCCCTTATTATTTGGTATGATGCTTGTTGATATGATTAAGCTACATGTGAATCTTATTGTAACCTTGTAATTATATTTTAGGATGTTCTTGGGATAACAACATGGACAATTTGCATAGTTGTTTAAAAGTTTATCCATAATGCAGTTGAGCTGTCTGTTGAATATACAATAAACAGAATGAGTAGCTGTTTGATGCTAAAGTGATTTTTATGCAGGCTATTTTGTGCAGGATGCTGTAGTTGCAGCTACAATTGGACTGGTGACTGGGTGGTGCATGGGTCCACTAATGCCCGTAGTTGGTCATTGGTTGGCCAGGTCATCCATTTTGCAATGCTTCATGCAAGTGACTATTATCGCTCTGGCTCTATCATCACAGTTCTTTCCATACAGTTTGGATGCACCAAAGAGGGTTGTGCTTCAACACACATTTAATACTGCCGGTATGCTGTTACATGTATCTTTTTATGCCAGACATCTTTTAACTAGGTGACCATGATATCTTCTGTTGGACATTTGTCTGTACTAGACAACTTTTTATTACACTAGGAACTCTATAGCCTCAAACATCTGCCAATTTGTTCTTTGAGATTCAACACATTGGTCTGATTATGATAAATTTGATTTAGCTGTTTTCATCTATGACCATGTAAATTTGTATTTTGTTGACTTGTTTCCATTTGTGCTCAATAACAACAGCAAGATTTAAATCTCATCTTTAAATATAAATTACATTCTAACTCCTTATGGCAGTGCGCTATTGTTCCTATGGTCATCATGTCCGTGTGGTCATTGCCTCTTAGTTCTGACCCTTGTTGAAATTAAGATTGGTGACCCAGGCTCTAGGTAGTTCTTTGGCGGGTTGACAGCTTTGGTGAATAACCCTGCACAACAGAGCCAATGCTGGATGGGATACTCATCCCATTTTAAAATCTTCCCTCCTTTGCTTGAATTTCATCCCATCGTGCACTTCTCCCAATCTCTCAACCTTCAGAATTAAAATCTTATCGAGATATATGGCCTTGAGAAACTGAGGTGTCTGGATCATTTCTTATGTGGTAATCATTGCCAATTACAATCCGCCCTTTGCTTCAGTTTCCTCCCACTTCGTTCTTTTGTTATTGTAATTCTTGGTTTTCATCCCATTGTGCAGATATTGGTAGTGCAACAGTGGTATGGGAATTGGAAATCAGCTTGATCTTGCTGCTGTAGAAAATATGTAGAACTAGTTATAAACTGGAAGTTACATCTTTTGACCTTTAGACCTTGAGGTATCACAGTACCATTTTATATTCTTCCCTTTTGTTTCATTAGTTGTCACAGGAAAAGAGAAGTATAGAATTACCTTTAGCATAAGACCGTAGAAGAGTTGGTTGTGTGTGGTGATTCGTTAATATTGATTCTAATTATAGTTCGATCTCGAGTTGCAATATGGTATCAAAAAGAGGAAAAAGCATCTCAGTTACAAGGCTGTATACAGAGATGTTTTATTTCTTCATTAGTACAACCTTTTTCAGAGTCTCTTTCCATGAATTTGTTGGATGTGGAGGACCCTAGTTATTGATTTTGTACATGGAATTGAATCTTGGACAGTTACCCAAGCTGGTTTCCTCAAGTACTGGTGTGATACAATATACCTTGATATAGACGACTGAAAAAAGAATAAATACAAGTTGGTGTTGGTATTACTTTTGATATGGTATAGTATGTTACATACAGGTTGGTCATTGGACCTCTGCGGTACAATTTATGTATAGTGATACTTAAATGTTAAATCCATGATCATGTCAGTATCAAAAATGAAAAAAAATTCACAAATTTTCTTTTCTGCATAATTGCTTTATCCATATCTTGCCTGTGTTTCCCTAAGTTTCCTTAGTTGTTTCTATTGGTACATAGTTTCTCCTTTTTTATTTCTATTGGGGATTTTGACAGGTGCTGACAAGGTTGTGGATTCAAGATATGATTTTTCTGTAGTTGATTCCAATTCACTGGCTTTTCTCTTCAAGCATTCACCTGAAGCTTCAAAAATGTTAGACATCAATTCAGAGTTCTCCTTTAACAGCAATTATCATTCTGATGGGAGCACTTGGATAGTAAGTGAATTGGCACTTCAGACTTCTGCTTCGCATACCAATGATTTTAACTAGTTCTAATTCTGTTTGTAAATACAAGTTGTATATTGTTCTCTGGGCATAATTTCTAATTATCCATTGTGTATCTAGTGGCTGATAATGTGAGCTAAGATAAAATTGCATCGGCCATTAGTATTCATGCTTTATATCAAGGTTTATTGTATCGATGCATACCGCCTGGTATGGGCGGTACTGGTCACTTTACCCTGTATCGAGTGATACAGGGTCTATACCGAGCGGTAACGATCGAAATCTGATCGTTACTGACCTACCGGGCGATAACGATCGAAATCTGATCGTTACCGACCTACCGGTCAAGGGCTGAGACAACATTGAGTCAGAATGTGGCAGAAGGAGCCACATAACATCGAGTTAGATTGCTCAAGGAACTAGAGACACCTAATCGTCACAGTCGTCTGCCCAGCATACAAAGGTAAAGGGGAATGCAGTAGCATCAGATGCACCATTCGAAAGAATCGAGTCAGGCAATGAGACATCTTCGCAATCTCATTTAACAACCTGCTCGGTCTAGAGACATATGGTAGCGACGTGGATAGCAATGCCTTGACCGAGGAGCGATATTTTATACATGCCACCCAAGATTTAGATCTTGAAGCTCGACAAGGTACTGGTCAAGTTTATGCATGGAAGGGGAAGGGGAAGTCAGTTGATGATTTTGAGCAGATGTGATAGAACCTACACGATGTAGATGCAGAGCAAAGCTCATCGTATTCACAACCGTCGTATTACGAAGAATTTACGACTAACAACAGTACGGTGATAGTTAGTCATACTTCTTTGAGCATCAATACAATGATACGACCCTACGATATGGAACAACAGATCAGTAACGGCTGTAAAAGTTCAGACATTCTCTGTGCTCTACACCAATACATGCCACATTCGTCCTTTCCTCAGGAGTTGCCTCGAACACCTGTGGTTCACGTCGATTAGACTACGACCATCACCACATTGATGCACTAATGGCATGCGATGTATCAGTACACTATGTCGTGGGATCAATTTGAGGATTGGGTCTGACAAACATATTATATTAATATACAGATACATTAGATCGAGGACCCTGATCCACCGCTCGTGGAGTCCTATCGTTCTTTTTTATGGTAGAACTAAGTATATCCATCAATTGATTATTTAATACATTGGAATCATAAAATTTAAGTTGTATAAAAAATAATCTAATAATTCAACTAATTTCTTTGTAGAAATTTAATATTAATGGAAGGACGATCCTGAACTTACCATAGAGTTACTCCTCAAAGTCCGAAAAAGACAAGTGACACTATTCTTTCCTAATTTACATCATTTTTGCTAAAATTATACTAAAATTATATTTATTTCTAACTTAAAAACTCTAATCTATTTTTTTTTTAAGGTATTTTTGAAGTTATTTTTTATGATTTTGGGTGTACCGCCCCGATTTACCATCGATATGCCTTGGTACATATCATACCGAACATGGCTCAATACCCCGATATGGACCAAAATTGCAATCTTTGCTTTATATTTTCTTATAGGAATTGTGATGCACTGGTGTATTATACCGACGAAGTAACAAACAATGCTTGATCCCCTCCAGTTCTTTGTATGAACCCTATGTTCATTGTTTTCTTAAGTGATATGATAGCAAGGTTATGGTATGCAAATTGATGCACAACTGAGCTTCCAGGCTCCTGTTCCTTGCTCATTAGATATCATTATTCATAACATTGTAAAAATAATGAATATCCAATGCACCATCTTGGTCTTATGTAAAAAGTAAAGGACAAAACCAATGCATAAGGTTCCCCTATATACCAGGTCTCAGAAGGGTTAGGATACCCCACCCTTCCTCTTAATGATAGATCCGTGACTTGAACACTGGTCATCCTGGTCGGGTGAAACTTTGACCTTCTACTTGCCCTCATTCTAGGACAAGTACAAAAAATGTAAGATTTGGAAATTGCGTTCGTGGTTTTCATGTAAATTTTGGAAACCAGTAATTGCATTTATTCCATTTTTCTAGTACTCTGAGGAGAATAATGATCGTCTTAATATTGAATTGCCTTACTAGCTTTCTAAATTTAATTAAATGACATACTTGGGTCTTCACTAGTTGAAGGATTTTTATTCCATTTTTCTTGCCAAATCTATGTCTTTCATAAGGATGTTTGTAGCTGCATGTGTCTAGTAACCTAAATAGTAACTAATTTTTTGTGTAGGAAGTTGCACACTGAGCTTGCATCTACAATTTCGAATGCTTAACTGTTTCCTTATATCGCAGGCACTATTCCCAGTGTCGTTCTTGTTCTCTGGAAGTTTGAAATTTCCTGCAGATGGTGATAGCATCTTAAAGCATTATGCATCCTTCCCACACTTAACTGTTCGTAACACAAAATCAATTTCTGAGGCTGGTCACCGCAGAGTACACTTGGAACTTCATTTAGGGTGATTGTTACTTTGAAGATGACTGTTCTAATGTGTATATATCTATAGATGTAGTCACCTGAAATACTTTGTTTAGCTTAGATAAATTTGTTTGTTTAAAACTGTTACAGCTCCTTGGGTGAGATCTGGGCTTCAGTCCTGAATATTACTGGTCCGCTGTCGAATTGGTCTTTTGCAGATTATAGGCTTCCAGGTCAATCTCAACGAGCTTTTGCCTCTAGAATTTATTGTCTTCCAGTAACCTGACCTTTTTGTTTCCTCTTTTGCCCCCAGCTCCGGAGAAAATCAGTGGTGGCCCACCATCATATATATGTAGACTTAGTGGAAGTAGCAATGAGAGTTGGACTTTCTGGCTAGAGGTAATGGTTTAATTTACTCAATTGTTTCTCGTCATTGAAGTAAATTTTGCTAATAGAACCAGTTGCATCCCAAATTGTATTAATTGCATTTTGAAGTGGAGTATTTTAGCAGTACATTTCTTCACATCTACTGGCCAATTTGGAAGTCTTCATGCTTGATTTTTTCTTGGACCTCTCGATTCACAATCTTTGGATGCATGCTTGATGTTTTTTGAACTAAAATCACATTTGTCCGAATAATCTACTCCCATTTGTTGCATGGACTGTGGATGTTCTCATGCTTGATATTTTCTGTAAAATCACATTTGTCAGTGTGTTGCATGAACTGCAGGCCAACAGTTCGGAGGCTTTGAGGATGGATGTTGCTGTGTTAGATCAGTATCTCGTTGATGATACCAAAAAGTTGAAGAGCTTCTTCCCCAGCTGGGCAGATGTAACTGCTTTCTCAACCTTTTTTTCGAGCTATAACTTATGAAAACGATCCTATTTGTAACCTTAATTGTTCTTAGTTGTTAGAAATTCATTTTGTATACCCCTACAAGGTGAAAAAGAAAAAAGATGATATAGCATCTGTCATTTCTTCATAATTTGTCAATCAAAAATGTTTCATTCTCATAAACATTACAAGAGGATACCTTAGATGTATCAAGGTTTGAGGATTTGAGTTTTCCTTGATGATTCTACCAAAGCCTCGGATAGCTTTCGACTTTTATCAAGTTAAATTGTAGTACTTCCTTGAATAAACAATGCCATTTACTTCCTAATATAAATATATGTTTTCTACTCATCTACAGATGATTTTGGTGAAAACACAACTTTTTAGAAAGTTATCTTATTGTGACAAGTGTCTTACGAATTTTGAGAGGCTTCTTAATGAATGGTGGCCTGAATTTAGAAAGGTCTATAACAGATATATGATAAATAAAATGATTGATTGATTAGTCTCATCATCTAACTAATGCAAGTAAAAACAACAAGATTCAATGTTTCAATTATCTGGGATTCATCGCATGCATCTTTATTTGTTATTAACCCCCGGACTATGTTATTGATGGATCTTTACTCGTATTTAAGTTGCAACATGTTTCGAAACAGTTCAAAGTTCCTGTCTATCTTCTCGTTCCATACGATCTAATCTGCCAATTCATGCAACTAACATGTCTAAGGTATAAATTTAATCATATATATTTTAATTTTATCCATACAATTACATTATTGCTATGTAGCATTATATCTTCGAGAAATTGGTTGATTGGGCCTTCAGTTACGTGACTTAATTGGAACCGCTAGGCCGCATAACCGTACCAGCCGACCATTTGAATCAGAACGAACAGTCAGCCGATTAGTGATAGGATCACCCTTGATGTTACTACTGAACGGCTATGATTCTTTCGCATACAATTGTCGCACATGTTTCGTATGCAAGTTACGTTGTTCCAAGCTTATACCCACGAATCCCGTGCCAGTTGAAGACTCCCGGTCAGGGCTTCTCAAAATTTATTTTCCTTACGGACTTTGCGATTCAAATTACGTAAATAGGCCCATTGATGAACTCTATTTCGGTCATTTTGTCACCCGATTTTAAAGATTCCGGAGCTCAAACCCTATTGAACTTCACCCTCTTTCTCGCTCGTTCAATCGCCTTCGGAATTCGCCTTCGCCGCGGAATCCAACTAGGGTTTTGGAAAACCCTCGCTGCATCCGCCGCAAAACCCTCCCGATCCCGGGGGCCGGAGCACGATTCGATGGCGGACGACGCCGCGCCATCCCCTGCTGCGGGACCGATCGGACACACCGTCATCCCTATCGTGAACAAACTCCAGGACATCTTCGCCCAACTCGGGAGCTCGTCCACTATCGATCTCCCCCAGGTGGCGGTCGTCGGGAGCCAGAGCAGCGGCAAGTCGAGCGTTCTTGAAGCGTTGGTGGGCCGGGACTTCTTACCCAGGGGTTTGGATATTTGCACGCGGCGGCCGCTGGTGCTGCAGCTGGTGCACCGGCCGCGGAGAACGGATGCGGCCGAAGGAGGGGAGGAGTGGGGGGAATTCCTCCACTTGAACGGGCAGAAGTTCTTCGACTTCTCAGAGATTCGTCGGGAGATCCAGGTACTTCGGGTTTTTGTATTTTGTTTGAGGGTTTTAGATTGTTTCTTTCCTTTATGTTATTCTTGGCAATTTTGCCATTCATTTTTTGGTTTACTAGATATTAAAGTTACTGGATTGATCATCCCGTGTCTTGCTTATGGCTTGGAACTTTTAGGAATTGAAGTGCGCACTCTGGATAGTACGCTTTGCTAGTTATTTTGACATGTGTCCTTTTAGTTGTTGATTATTTGAGTATTGATATGCTGATTTAATCTAGAATATAACAGTGTGTTTCAATCTTCCTAATTTAGAATTTACATGCATTCTTGCTACAAATTATGAACTGATGGCATTCTATTCTTTGGTGATACGCAAGACACATCTTTATGCTTTTTTTAGAATCTCAATGATGGGCTCAAACACGACAAGATTCATATAGAGTTGCAAATATTTTCTTCGTAGAACTAGATGTGACTTTGTTAAATCTGCAACGGTTTTAGGCTTATTGAATCTACATAGGTCTTAAACTTTGATCTCTGGTGATAAATAGATCCTTGTATTGATGTCATGAGGTGTCTTCACCTTGTCATCTAGGTTCTAAATGCATTTATTAAACTCACAGACATACAATCCACTGGTGTTGCTTGTTGGTCCTTTTTGAATCTTTAGTTTTCCTAGAGAATCATGTCTTGTAGAGAAATTCTCATTCTTGCTAACCATAATTTGCTCCCAATTGTTTGCCAATACTTTCTGATAATGATGTTATTTATTTTAGGCAGAAACAGAAAGAGAAGCTGGGGGAAACAAAGGTGTTTCTGATAAGCAGATTCGTCTGAAGATTTTTTCTCCAAATGTCCTGAATATCACTCTTGTTGACTTACCTGGAATTACTAAAGTACCGGTTGGTGACCAACCTAGTGATATTGAGGCAAGAATTAGAACAATGATATTGTCTTACATCAAGCATAAGACATGCATTATATTAGCAGTTTCACCAGCAAATGCAGACTTGGCAAATTCTGATGCACTTCAAATGGCGAGAATTGCAGATCCAGATGGTAAGTTTTTTTGATCGATTATTTATCTATGGAGGCTAGAACATGGTAGACTAGTATTCCACGTTGTCAGAATGTTTGAAATCTAATCTACCATTTCACAATAATGAATTTTATTTTGGCAGGTTCTCGCACAATTGGTGTCATCACAAAGGTTTTATTTTGTGAACTTTAGTAAATTACAATTACAATAGCATTATAATTATTTGCCGTGATGACACTAACTTTATTACTTCTATTTGCAGTTGGATATAATGGACAGAGGTACCGATGCACGCAACTTTTTGTTAGGAAATGTGATACCACTTCGACTTGGTTATGTGGGTATTGTAAATCGTAGTCAGCAGGTATTTTCATTTTTCCGGATAATATGTGCTTTTCCTTCATGCTTATCTCTGGTTATGGAAATTATGTATGAAACTACTTATCATTTAATTTGAGGTATCTTAATCATGGTTCGCCATACCACTACGTACCGTCCAATATGGGTGATACATATCGGTTTGATAGAGAACTAGTTCGAGTGGTATACACCGGTTTATCTTTATGCCTCACCATATCGTGTGTCGGTATTTGGTATGGTTCAGTATATACTGTATCGATGGTCGGTCGGTACATCGGTATAAACTGGTAAGGCGAACCATGATCTTAATACTATCCAAGTAACAAAGCAAGCACCATGACTACAAAGTGCATCTGTTGTGAACATGTTGTATACTTGGGGAGTCAAAACTAATCAAGAATCATATGTCAGCAGCTTTTTTATTGTGAGACGTGATGAGGAAAATCATCTGAGGTTGCTAAAAATGTCTAAATATGGGCTTTTAAGTGTTCTCACAACAAGAAACTTAGTCAATTGATTTAGAGGTTTCAGGAAGGAGAAATAACCAAGTAAAGATGAGCCCATACTTTTTGGTTTTGGGGGGGGGGCTGGAAGATGAGCCCTTACATGTTAGAGGATCCAGGAAGTCAGAGGAATTGCCAAGCAAGATATTCAGAAGGGCTTGAGGCTCTCGGGCTATGTTATAAATTTACTCCAAGCAAAGCTAAACTGGAATACAGATGGTTATATTTAGGTCTAATTTTTCATGATTGTTGTTGGATAAATTTAATAGGTTCCGGTTTTAATCTCTAGATTAAAGCCAATGACATATATGGTGACTAGTTAGCATGGGTTGACCAATCAGCATTTTTGTTTTAAGTATTTTTTCCTATCAGTTGTGAAAGAACTTTATGGTTAGCTTCAATTACAACAAATACTTGTCTGTTTGAGACGAGTGCATTTTATCACATTGCTTATTATAGTGCCACTTGTGATCTGTTATTCAAATAGATATTTGTTGAGCATGTGTTTAGGCTTTAGAGCACTGTTGATGTTCCATATTTGCTGATACCTTTGTCTTTGTAAATATGCTTTGTTTCAGTGACCACAACAGATTTTGCTATGGCTGACTTTCTTGAAAATGCAGGACATCAACTTGAATCGTAGTATCAAAGATGCATTGGCATTTGAAGAAAACTTCTTCCGCAAACAGCCTGTATGTTGTATCCGAGGACAATATTTGATCTGCACTATATGCTATTCATTTCAAAAATATAATGACACATTATGGTGGTTTGCAGGCATATCATGGCCTTTCTCATTGTTGTGGGGTTCCTCAGTTAGCCAAGAAACTGAATCAGGTAAGTGGTTCAAATGATAATTTTGCTAGTATACAATTAAAATGTGTCTTTTTGTTGGGATTATAAATATTTGAACAGAATTAGCAATATGTATTTTGCTACATAAAGATTAATTTTCCTGCACTATTTCAAGCAATTATTCAGAATATTCGGCTTTTGTCCTCTTGTGGCCTAAACCTGATGTATTATATTCCAACTTTTCTGCAGATTTTAGTACAACACATTAAGAATGTCCTTCCGGGGTTGAAGTCTCGCATAAATGCCCAATTGGTTGCTGTTGCAAAGGAGCATGCGGCCTATGGTGATGTAGCAGAATCAAAGGTTTGTAAATATGTATATATGTACATTACATATAAATACATAAACATTTGGTACCCGTAGATGAAAATATATTGTATTCTTGCAGTTTCTCTACCATTGTTACAAGCATCATATGTTCATGTCGAATTTTGGTGTTATATCTCAATATCTCCCTTTTAGTTGTTCAACCTCTAATCTGGGTCTTCAGTCCATGAACTGGAGAGACATACCACACCACGTGTGTTTAAAAACATAGTTGATTGGATACTAGTAAAACGACAATCATGGGTTCTTACACTCATTTTCTTAAAATGTATAGCCCTTTCATTGCATGTGTTTGCTTAGTTACTTTTTCTTTATCTTTTATCTGTGTTACTTGAAGATAATTCATTTTTACAGGCAAAGCCAATATGAGAAGTTGAGACTGCTTAAATCTCTAATTGACCCAACTTATTCTTTAGTGGCATATGATTAGCTTGATTTAACTTAAGTATTAGTGGCAACTCAGCTGCTGGTTGTCTCAGGATTTTGATACCTTATGATATCGACTTTTCGATATACATTTTCCTGTATTATTTCAGCTATCATTTGGTGTTTATCTAGTCTTTTCATGTTCTTCCTTCTCGACATTATCCTTGAAATAACTGACTGTAAGGTAACTTTGACTGCAGGCTGGAATGGGGGTTAAACTGTTGAACATTCTTACAAAATATTGTGAAGGTCAGCTTGGAGCTATTTAATAAATATCAAAATTTTGAGCTTTTTTTGGCATGAGAAATGCTTTGGAGTGAATTTTTGTGTTATTTAAAATTTAATTATTTGTGTTTATGCCGGTAGTCTCATAATTGTTTATTGTGTCTTAAGTTGCTTTTGCTTTCTTGGACTGATCAATTTTTTTATTGCATGATTGCATATCTTTAGAATTCTATAATCTTGGATTTTAGTAATATTCACCTGGATGGCTTAGATTGAATGTGATCTCAGTGATGATCCAAGTTTGTCTTGGATGCCTCTTTTGCTTGTAAGGGTAAGGTTGCATGTGTAGCCTCCTAGATCGTGTTGCAAGAAACCTTTTGCATTGGGTCTCCCTTTTGGATTTCGTTTGTCATACTTCAACATGCAAAAGTTAGTTTGTTGGTACTTTAGTTCACATGCCTTGTTAGCTTCTGACTAAGCATGCGCCCTTTTCAGTGAATGTAGGCAGGTTGCCATAACTAATGGTATGTTTTTTGCAGCTTTCTCTTCTATTGTGGAAGGGAAGAATGAAGAATTGTCAACTGATGAGCTATCCGGTGGTGCTCGTATACATTACATATTTCAGTCTATCTTTGTGAAGAGTTTAGAGGTGTATTTCATTATCATTTTTCTAATGTGCATGATATTCTTCCTTTTATATTTTCTTATCCCTAGTTGTATAAAACTATAAATCACTGTTATTTAAATCTGAAAGATTCTTTCTTATCCTTAGTGTTCTCCATGGGTTTAGGAGTCCTATAATTGGAGGGGTATTTTGATTCCCTCCCACAAACCTCTACCTTTTGTAGTTCAACATTATGGATGATCATCTGATGTTTGTGTAGGAAGTTGATCCTTGTGAGGATGTAACTGATGAAGATATCCGCATGGCTATTCAAAATGCAACTGGTCCAAAAAGTGCACTCTTTGTACCAGAGGTGATAGTGACTTGAATGATGTTACATGCTCTTGTGAGATTGAATACAACTAAGTCTGCAGTTTAGATATCTTCTTCATTTTGATGAACCCTGGTTCTCTATGTCTATAATACATGATTAGGTGCCATTTGAAGTTTTAGTTCGAAGGCAGATAGGTCGTCTGCTAGATCCAAGTCTTCAGTGTGCAAAGTTTATCTATGATGAACTAATAAAGGTATACACCATGAAATTGTTAGGAAAATAACTTGATTGCCTTATAATTACCAATAATTGTTCATGTTATTGTAGATGAGCCACCGTTGTTTAGCTAGTGAGTTGCAGCGTTTTCCTGTCCTTCGAAAGTCAATGGATGAGGTAGTTGGGAGCTTCTTAAGGGAAGGCCTTCAACCTGCAGAGACAATGATTACTCATATCATCGAGATGGAGGTAGATAAACTATCTTAGTTTTGTTGTGTTGCTTTGATGTGTGAATTTAGCTCTTGTGAAATGCATAAAGCAAAAGACTAAGATAGCTCCTGGTGTATGCATTTCTCATATCTTTATTCTGACTAAATTGATGTCCGATAACTTAGGGAAACCAGTGTAATGATTTAGACCCAGGATCTGTTTCCTTGGTTGCTTATCTGGGATTAATCATGGAAACCCCTATTGTGCACAAAAAAACCTCAAAATGCGTGTACTCCGATATGACAACCCACAGGAGCATTGGGTACATAATCATTATGTTACAATCAAAGTAGTCACTAGTCCAATAATCTAAGTCGAACAAACTTCAGAATTGTCTAGAGAATGCTTGAGCCCCAAGTTATTCCAGATGGCCAGTCAAATCGTATGTACGAGTTAAATCTTTATTTTATGGTACTGAAATATTGGATTGTAATTATGTATAAAAGCAACGAAATTCATCTAGTAATTCGTCATGTCTACTGGTTTTTGCTAATTGCTACACTTTTTTTAAATTGTCACCAGTGATCTTTTTGGTATTTGATCTTTATCATGCATACTTTATGTCAGAGTAAAGGGGCCGTATTATTGTTGAGGATTAACTGAAGGAAAAAAGGATCATTGTCATGTAAAACTTCTTGTTTTTAGTTTTTTCGGTTGAAGCCTGATTTCGTATATAGGATTTAATAAGAAGACAAGAAAATGGGCCATTTCTACTTGGTTGAGTCACACAATACTAAATAAGCTTAACATGACCACAAGGAACATAGACGACAAGAACTCATCCCTAAACATGCCAAAGGCAACAGTTGAGGCATATCGTGAATATACCATAGAGAACGCAAGCTTCCCAAGGAATCTACCTCCATTGTCACTATCAAGGACTCAAGTTGAGTTTATTAATTAACCTGCTAAGAATAGGGTATTCTGATATAGGAAGTGGATTGCTTGGTTCTTGTTAACTTCTGTTCATGGATATGGTAGATCATATGGGTGCATGCAATCGTTTGTATTTGGTGGTTGGAAAATGTACTATAATTATCTGAGACTTGCTACTATAAAGGTATGTTATCATTGACAAGCTAGTCTATGCCTCCTTTGTTAATGTGTATGTTCCTTTGTTAATATTTTTCATTTTTTTGAAGTCTGTTGGAGTTGATTTCATCATTTTTCTTTGAGCATTTATGCTTCAGTGGAATGCCAAAACATATTTTTGTGATTCATCTTCTTGGCACATCTGTTATAGATTTATGGAAAGCATGATTTCGATCATTTTTCTTTGAGCGTTTAAGCATCAGCGGAATGCCAAAACATATTCTTGTGATTCATCTTCTTGGCACATCTGTTATAGATTTATGGAAAGCATGATTGAGGAATGTGTGATTGTATTATCTTCTTGACGAACTTTCTTGTATATATTATCATATTTGTTAACTAATGCTGCAAGACTTGGTTCTTACAGAAACATTGAAATATGTAAAATCTAAGAGCATCGGCTCTTATTGTTTTGCCACCGAATGTATAATTGCTAAATACGTAGACCTTTATCTATAGTGATTTTCCTGCTCATGCTGTAATGTTATTAGCTATGGTGGTTATTTGGTTCATTCAATTCATTCCTGGGACATTTCTGAACCAGTTAATCTGACTTGTTTTTCAAAAGTTTGATGCAAACTTCTACCAAATTGGGAGTTATAATATGGCTGAAATGAACTGTAGAATTATTGGCAATTTGAGAATTAAAAAGGCTTTAAAAAATGTGCACAGCAAGGATTGCCTTTTCGGGTACTGGATCCATTTCTTCAATCTATCAAACCCATACATACTGGCCTGTACCGGTGTGCCGACACACGGCATGCCAGTGCATACTGGTGTTTCGACAAGGAAGAAAAAGAGGGTTCAGAGGAAAGGGTGTTGGAGGAACAGAGGAGGAAGGAAGAAGGACAAAGCAAGATTCGCAATACCGTATCGTACCGGTATTTCGACTTGGGCTCGGTACCGGTACGGTACGGTATACCGAGCGGTACACCTGGGTGTATCGAGTACTGTAGCACTGCTACAGTGATACAGTACCTCGGACCGGTAACAGTCGGTCCACGTACCGAAAACCTGTCGGACCGGTACGTACCGCCCGTACCGGGCGGTACGGCAGACCCTGGGACAAAGAGGAAGCGGTGGAGGAGGAAAAAGAAAGAAGAAGAAGAAGAAGAAGAAGAAGAAGAAGAAGAAAAAGAAGAAGAAAGAAAGAAGAGGAGAAGAAGCAACGGCAGCATACCTGGAACCAGCATCGAAGCGGCAGTGGCGGTGGTGAAGCGGCAACATCGCAGTGGCAGTAGTGAAGTGGAAGCAGCAAGGGCAGCGACACTGTATGCGAGAAGACGCAAGCTGTAATTTGATTTTTTCTCTTTTTTAACCCTGAATTAGATAGAAACCCATCACTTTTTTATTTTTTTATTATTTTAATTGGACTGCACGAAACAGGTGTGGTCCGTGTATCACCCCATGCTCGGACCGATATGTACCCCCTGTACCATACCATTTCGAGCGGTACAGCAGTCGATGGTGCACGGTTGGTACTTCAGTAGAAATTTTGTCATTTTATTTTTGTTATGTTCTTTCTGGTCTTTGTGTCGGAACTGAAAGTTATAATCTGTCTTTTGTCAAATAACTTAATGCACACCCCAATGCTCCCTTTTGTAAGAGACCATTACAAATTATAGTCCCCATTGGCCCATGTACATGTCGTGCTGAGCCTCACTGTTGCCTAGTCACCATAAGTTGGGCCTTGTTGATTCTGGAATCATCTTTCTGTTCTACTTTAGAGAGAAAAATCTAAGCTGCTAATTGCTCGGAAGCAACTCTCTTACATGACCAACGGTATATGACTGCTCTCCTTTTGTCATGCATGACATGTGAACTATGCTTTTTCTTTTTGCCCCTCTATTTTTGCATTGATGAACAGTGCAGGTTAGTGCTATGGTGCCTCTTACAGGTGTCAAGCATTTATTGTTTGCTTGAATCAGCAAAATTTGAAACCTTATCATGTCAACCTATTGTGTGTGCATGTGCTTGATGTGTTGGAAAGTTTCCCTTGTTATACGTACTTATTTTTTAATATCCTGTGAGCATTATGTTCTAATACATGTATTGTAAACATATTTTACATGCTTACAGTTTGTGATGTCTAAAGGCCAGGGATTGCATTGTGAATTTCTAGATCAAAATTTTAAGGTATAACAGACTTTGTTATGTAATGTAAAAGTGTGCCCTGTCTGAGGAAATCTAAAATATGTACATGATTACAGCTAAACAATTCTTTAGCTCACACACCCAGTGATAGAAACATCTCTTTTATTATTCAGAAGAGTCAGCTAAATCATATAGGCACATTTTTCTTGGCATCTCTTGTTTTTCCTGGAATCCTGCATCCATTTCTACATTTCTGTCAAACATGTATCCATTTGCCAAATATTTGTGTGCAAGCATGGCACCGACCAACTTCTTTGGTTATCAGTTTTAAATATCATGTGATCAAGATAAATCCTTTTTGTTTTGAGGTTATTCTATTTTCTGAAGTTTCACTTGTCCAAGTTCTTCTTGGGTTTCGATTGTATGACCGGGGTTGAGTTGGTTAATTGGTTTTCCAGATGGATTATATAAACACTTCTCATCCAAACTTTGTTGGTGGAAGTAAGGCTGTAGAAGTCGCCCAGCAGCAAGTCAAATCTGCAAGGTTGGCAGCATCAGCACCTAGAGCTAAGGTATATGTTCCTCTATTGTGTACGTGCAACCATTTTTTTCTAATAGATTTGCTTTTATATTCTAGACTAAATTTATCATGTTCATTTTCTTCTTTTTGCTGACATCTGCATTTGTTGGAGCAAAGGCTGCTTCTTTTAAACAAGTTAATGTTATTAAAAAAACTGTCATGCTTCTTTAACCAACAATATTAACCAATCAACTATTGAAACTAAAATTTCTTTTATAGCAATTTTTGTCAATGATTATATTATTTTGTTGGACTGAGGCTGTTTGAAACTTCAGCTATCATTACTACTTTCTTTTGAGTGACTTGCATTCATTAACAAAGACTGATCTAACCTGGAGTAGAACAGGGTTTTCCAATTGATTTATCTTGATGGCACGGATTGCTGGTTTGGGCGTCTGCTATAACTTAAGTTCATTTTGATTTCTTTCTCCTAAATTTATTATTGTTGGACTTGATCCTTTCATTTTTAAGTTGTCAGATAACATGTTGGTGCCTTCTTATTAGCACCCATAATCTATTGGTGTTGCTCAGCTTTTAGATTTCATATTGACATTCATAAAGGTTTTCTTCAGAGTTTAGGGGGAAGGGTAACTTTAGGATCATAATCTATAAATTTATGTGAGAAACTTAGCTTGTATTTTTTAATAAATTCTAATGCTTGTTTATTGTTTCAATCAAAAGTTTTTTTTTTAAGAAAAAATCAATGCAGAAGTAGATTGTCGAGCAAGTTTCTGTTCCTACTTACATCTTCTAAATCCTTGGGATGGGTACAGGCATAGTCATATTATATTGTGAATAATTAGATTAAGTTCAAAAATAGATGCATAATAGCATATTGTCTATCCACAATGTCTTGAGTTGCTCATTAGCTAACAGATTATCCGACTTGTTTGATGATGCTATTGGAATAACTTCTTTTTTAAATTTTATTTATAAATGACATGAATTTTAGAATCTGGGTAAGCCTTTGCTTTCCACTTTTGTTGGTAGTAAAAAAGGTGAGGCATAGGTGCAAAATGTAGTGAAACCCTGGCTCATCATTAGTCTGATTCTATTTTTGTTTCCATTACCTTGGGGTTTGGGCCAAAGAGAGTAAATGAAAATTGCAACTGTTTCTCTTCTGTATCCTGGTATTCTGGAATCAGAATATCTACAACCAATCTATGTTTTTATACACAGGATGGAGTTGATTCTGATAAGCTGCAAGCTTCTGTAAAGAATCTAAAATCTCGTGCTATCATTGCCAAATCTGGAGCAAATGGAGTTGTTCCTGATCATCATCAGGTCACTGCTTTATCCCTGTTGTTTATCAATACCTTTTTTGGTATTATAATGCATATGTTCTTATGATGTCTTGTGTATGCTTTCACATTGGTTTAATTCTCCTTTCCTGTTTTTATTGATGACGAATAGGATGCTCGAATTGTTGGGGATTCTGACAGACCAGGTTCATCTGGTGAGAAAAATACTGTTATAAAAATTATAATGTTTTTTTAATATCTTTTTGATATGTTGCCCACTAGAAGTGAACCAATTCTAAAATTTTGTATCCTGACATACGTTGGAACTGATTTTGAGAATGATAAACACAGTTTTTCAGCCTCATAGCTTAATACTAGTAATGTCGTTCAAGGACCAAGGGGAATACTTGTTCCCTGTCAAGTGTCAACGATAGTTAATTTCATCATTCAATTTTCTCATGGTGCATGTGCAATTGTTTATCACCAAAATGTTTTCAGTAACCATTTAACTTTGAGATGAATCAGGTAGTACGACTGGATCGAGCTGGGTTTCATCAATTTTTGGTGTTAGTGAAGACCGTCCATCTTTGAAAGAGGTTCCAGTGAACAAGCCTTATGGCATGCCTGTTCATAATGTTGAAACTTCACTCTCTATGATCCAATTGAGAGAGGCAAGTATTTTGAAACTATGTTTGTGAATTGCTTTCATTTGCTTATCCATTTACCTGCATCATTTCTGTAACTGAATTTGTCATTTTTCAGCCACCAATAATCTTGAAACCCTCAGAGAATCAGACTGAGCAGGAGGCTCTGGAGATAGCAATCACAAAATTGTTGCTGAAATCATATTATGATATTGTGAGAAAGAATATTGAGGACTCTGTGCCGAAGGCAATAATGCACTTCCTGGTAAATTTCCTATATTCTAGCTATGAGGGGTCAGATGGTGTTTGCTTTTAGTTTGTCAACACTATGATCTATGTTCTTTTGTTTTAAGTCTACATGCCTTTAACTCATGAGTGGGTCCTACAACCAAGCAAAATTATGAATAAATCTAACAGCAAAATATCTCAATATGTTCTCTGCTAGAATAATGTCCTTCTGACCTTACAAATTATGAATATTAATCATGTTTGAACTTAAGATGCACTATGCCTTCCTGATAAATTTGACAGCATTACATGTTTAGTAGTGAAGAATCACTCATTCTATGTGGAAGTTGTATATTTGGTGTTAGTTTACTTGGGAAGTGTTTTTGTGCTCTGCTGTCAGTGCCCTGCTTTCCTAAATGTAGTCACTAATACTACAGTAAAAATGTTTTTATTCAATACAAGCAAATATATTCCTTGATCGTCCAATTATAGGCTACACCAGAAACTTCTACCTGCATGATGGGCTAGCCAAACTATTGCCTCCTTCATGATCTAATTGTAAGTGCAGCCAACAAACTATTCATGAAAAGGATGCAGTTACTTAGGATGGTCTTCAAATCCCAAGGCCAAGCACCACCCTTTATAACAAAACAAGAGTAGAATAATTGACTCCAAAAGGCAAGCGGATAATGTTGTGTTCAGCTGCCTACTACAATCCATCTAACGATCTGATTACCTGGTGTAACCGATAGTAATTGTCCACGACATAAGAATAGTTTATTTAGACAGATATCCTATCCTTGTGGTCACGACCATGATACCATTTATTCTATTGGAGAAGAAAATTGGCCTTTAGCATTAATAAGCTTGAAGTTCAGATAAGTCCTTTGAATGTTAACATGGTTTATTCGATTTTCTTTTTAATGCAATCCCCTGGAATGATGAGTTGTAATAATAGCATTTATTTTTGTGGTGAATTGGATTCTATTTTATCATGATTATTTTCACATAGTCAGCGGTTGTATCAGGGTTACTTCTTTAGATGCTTCTGTTCAAGGTTTTAAATCTCGATCATAACGTTCATCATAGACCAAGTATATAGCTATTGAGCTTATAGCTCAATACCAATTCGTGATATTATTTTTTAATGTTTTTACTGCTTTACTTAGTGGTATTGCTTCGATAGAGAATAAGATAAGAGAAGATCACTTATGATGGTATAGGCATATGGTTAGAAGACCTCCGGATGCGATAGTCGGAAAAGGTGAAATGATTAATGTTAGTGGTGCGAGAAGAAATAGAGGAAGACCTAAAAATACTTTAATAGCAATTGTAAATAAAGATTTAATTATTCTAAACTTAATTAAACATATGATTTTTTATATATCTCAATGGTGGTTCTGCAAAAGATCTATATAGCCGACCCCAAATAGTTGAGACTTATGACTTTGTTGTTATTGTTGTACTGAATGGTATTGGGTAGTGCAGGTTGGTATTTCGTCTGATACATTATCCTACCTACGTGGTCCCTTAGATTAATAAAACCAGTATCGAACTGAGATTAAAATCAATACATCTGTATACTTCTGAAAGATTGTATCATACATCTATCACTTTTGTTTTTAAACAATCAATTCATGATGTTATTATCTTCCATCTGTAAGGCAGTGCCTCAGGCCTGATATAGCCCTGAGGACATGTTGCTTAATCAGTTAAGAACCATGGCACTCTAGCTTTATATTACGTGATTTGATCTTTCTTAGTGTTAGCAGTTACTTGTGGGTCACAAGATGGCTAGCCTTAGCACAATGGTTATGTTGCTCATCTGCAACTTGGTGATCAAGGCTCAAGCTAGACATTATTTTCTGCTTACGGTGGTAAGGCTGGTGTGTTGACCATTACCATAGCCAATAGCTGGCAGGAGCCTGATGCTTGATGCCATCTCTTTTCTAAATTATTTGGATATGATGCTAATCTAACTGGTGATTGTGATGACACCGAAAGTCTGACATTACCTACAGCAGACCTGTTGGCTTTTAGTTATCATTGTTTAGTGTTTTCTCTTGTTGAGCAACTGGTTTCTTATTGTTTCTTGTGTAGGTAAATCATACAAAACGTGAGCTGCATAATGTGTTTATCAGGAAGCTTTACAGGTAACAACTTGGTTCATGTTGTGAATTTATTAATATTCTCCTACCTTTGGTTTTATTAGGATGGTAACTATATGCTGCTTTATGCTGTGAACCAAAAATTATACTTGGATCTAACTTGTCAAACAGAGAAAACCTATTTGAAGACCTGCTGAGGGAGCCTGATGACATTACTGCCAGAAGGAAACGTATACGTGAAACTCTCTGGGTTTTGCAGCAGGCTTATAAGGTATGTTTCTCCTTGAACAAACCTATGGTTCTGAAAACAACTTATTTGCAATGTACACTAGCTCTCAGCAAAGTACTGATACCTTGTTTCTTGGTCCTGTTGGTCGCCAGACAATAGATGAGATCCCACTTGAAGCCGAGTCTATCGAGAAGGGCTATACATTAGATGCTGATCCAACTGGTCTCCCAAAGATACATGTGCATCCTTCATCCTTTTATGCAGGGAACAACGATCTAACCTCCCAATATTCAGCTTCACCCAAGAATCCGAGACCTAGGAAGTCGGCACACTCAGGAGAACAACCGCCTCCACTGTTTTCAAGCTCTGTTGCCAATGGCCTGGGATCCTATCCCACTTTTGATGTTTGATCACTCACTGCAAGTTGTGGATTTAGTCTACTTCCCACAAATTGGTACACGTGGTTTCATTTTCTTTTTTGGATGCCAATGCGAGCAGTGCATTTTGGTTTTTTTTTTTTTTTCCTGTCTGTATAACACTCGTTTTACTTTTTTTTTCTCATCATAGTCTATCTTCATATAAAGCTGACCCATTAGAAAAATGTGGCAGCTTACTACTGGCATTTGCGCTTTAATTTGAAGTGGATCTGCTGCTGGCAGTATCCATATCCTATTTAAGGAATTTGCTAGGATTTTTCTTCAGCTGTTGACTTGAAGCTATTGATTGAATGAGGGTTTTGCGCAATCTAATCTTTGAGTCATGGCTACTATTTTTCCAGTCCGATGCCCATTTTCTTTTATGTTCTTTATTTATTGTAAAACAATCGTTTGATGCCTTTTGCTTTATGTTAAAACCGTAACGAGCCTGTCTTGGCAAAAGATCTATTGTATCCCTTTGTACTTCATTCTTGTGTGTAGATAAAGTGAAGAACTATATCACTTAACTTGGTTGTAACCACACGCACACACATCAGGCTTTAGAAGCATTCTCCAGCATTCATTATATGCTTATTAATGACGGTTTCATGGCTATTTCAAAAATATCCTTAAATCATTGATAAACACATAATGCAGGATGGATCATGTTTATAAAGCTTGGAATTTCCAAGAAATCTTCACTAATAAACATATATATATATATATATATATATATATATATATATATATATATATATAACAGTGGTAGGATAATTGTGGAGAATGCTTTCAAATCCATCTGACTATGGGTCGTCTGATATGTTCGCAGTTAAAGCCATCATAAATAGACATCATCTTCAGGTAGCAGTTGGTGTGGCCATCTAAAGCTGAGCGGTTCTTCCTAAACAATCGAAACAAGTTAGGTGCAGCTTCAGCATCAACATTATGGTGATCGATGCCAAACCGAGCTGGGAGTAGTCACCACCATCTTTATTTAACATCTACCTATATATCTCAGTGGGTTTAAGACGGAGACCAGCAATTGCTTTGCGGAGGTTGGCTCACCTTCAAAAGTTAGTTGTTTTGACTTCTCTCGTTCTGCTTTAATTCTCATCAATGTGGACACTGTTTCATCTCTCTCTCTCTCTCTCTCTCTCTCTCTCTCTCTCTCTAAGGCATTTCAAAGTCTCTCTTCGTCCTTCGTCTCATCACTTTTGCACGTAAATCGGTGGTTACTTTTTGTTTCTATATCTTTTCAAATGATGATTCATTTTGGTGTCAGGCGTGAAGCAGAAATAGATGTCTCAGCTACTCTCATCACAAGGACAAGTTTCCTGTACTAACTTCTCCTTTCTTAAATACATGTTCTTCGGTTGCCTGAGTAGCTAACAACACTTTTTCAGAACAATCAAATATCTACGAATACTCACATAATTTTATAGAATTCCTTTCAATTTTTTTTCTTCTTTCGATTAAACATGCCAAGATTTTTTATACAATTATTTTTTAACATCCTCCCTCCTCCGTCCAAACATAATATATTTATTTATTTATACAATAATCAAATTCTAATTTATAATATTTTATTTCTTTCACACTTATATTAATACTGACTCCATAAATATAACAAATTACAATTATACTTTATCCATCTCAAATAATAATTAAAATAGCATCTTAGTTTATACGGCCGCACAAATACAAAGAGTGTTTGTAGTTGTTTGCCTGAGTGTAATTTGCAACCGAGCTCCCCAGATCATGATATTTATTTCCTGCATCCTTTTCTTGTTGTGATTCACATGTGACCACTCTGTTCTTAATTGTTTCATTCATTGATTGTTGGTTGTCCCATTTTATACTCTCTGTCGTCGAATTGATGTTAATCATGATATATATATGATGACAAAATAACAAACTTCTTGATACGTGTCACGACCCGAATATGATGATTCAACTGTCAATGACTTCATTTTGATCCATTAATCACGGACCAAAATATTTAAACAGGAGTTAACATAGTACATTCATCAGGCCCATATAAGTTAATCATACACATTGTCCACTTTCGATACGAGACTAATGGGATATTATAATACGAGTGTTGTGAATGATCGGACATGATCTAAGGAGACTACATACATACCTTTGCCCTAATGTGAGGTCTCATGTTTATTGCTTCCAACTCATAGGTTTTTTTGATCTCATTATAATGTCTCATCGTATTACATTGTTCTCCTCTCTTACCTTTGATATTTATCTCGATATTAAATTTTGGAACATGCTTTCTTCGCTGCTCAAAGCTTCGTAGTTCTTAATCTAAAGATCATGCCCCGATCACAGAAATTCTATGGTTTTCTTTACCCGAATCATCCTTTATTCCCATATATAAATAAATATTTGACCCTTTAATTTTTGTCATATTCCAACTAAATTCTCATTCATCAAATGTAAACTTATCTATAAATAAATATGCACTCAAACATAATTTTTTTTTCCAGTGCAAAGAAAATAATTAATTCCATCATTAATCTTGAAAATTTCACTAAAAGTTTCATTTACTGTGTATCACATAAAGGGTAAAGTAGTAAATTCTTGTATGTAGCTCCTATTAATTTCCGCTCCTCTCTCTCTAGACGCCGCCTCCCTCGCCGTCTCTCGCCAAGCTCAAAGAAGAGGTAGAGCAAAGGAGGAGAGAAATAAGAGGGGGAAAGAAGAGGTTTGAAGGGCTTCGATGGCTTATCGAGTGGCGTTGCGGCCGGAGTCTTTCCTCTGCTTCTCTCCCGTGAGGAGCAAGAGGAATGGCAGATCTCCCAGGGTCTCCAAGGCATCCGCCATTCGGTCCTCCTCCGCCACCAAGTAATATCCTTTCGTTCGTGTTATCTCTTCGCGCATTGGATTGTCCGATTTACCTTTCTTGATGCCGTTCTCCGATCTGCTTTCTTGGTTCCTCTTGCGAAAATTTTTGGGCTCGGGCGATTTGGATGCGTTAGTCTTTTACTTTTTTTGTTCTTCACGGAGTTTCAGTGTACGATTCTTTTTTATTCAGGTTACTTCTTTTTGCTGTTTCAATTTGGAGTTGGCCGAAAGTTGGCAACTTTGTGCCTTCGGTGATGTCAAGATGCCTTTTTTAGTTAACCTATCGATGGTCGCTTTCTGTATTTTACTTGGTTGTTTGGGATTTATCTTTTTCGATGAGTTATGGACACTAAATTCATGTCGTCATGTTGAGTTCATGGCTTTGGTTTAGCAAATTTTAGCGTTGTCTTGCATTCGAAGATTCTATGGTGGATACTTTTTCTTCTTGTTGTCGTTGGGCGGCATTTTGGTTTTCGCTAGAATGACGTGTTGTCCTTCTGTTGTTTGGCGGTGCTTTCATTTAAGTATCTTAACTTTAGCTTTCAACTACTTGCATATAAATGATATGTTATGTTAGTTCTTACTTCTCAGAATATCCAAATATACCTTCTCGGTCCCCATCCTTCTATTCTATTCCTCCACTGTGGTAGATGGGAGGCTTACTCGATCCCCTTTATGTTTCATTGTTCTCAATTGTCTAGTTTTGCACCAACTTAAGCGCTTTAAGCTTTACTTTGTACTGAATGTCTATATCCAACTAAGAGCAAGGAAAAAAAAATTATTAGAGGAAGACAAGTAGAGTTTAAGAGAGATGTTAGAACTGACGGAACTTGTGAGAGGAAAAAATTGTGTTTCGGCTGATCAATAAGGGACAGTTGATTTTTGTGATTGGAATTTGTGAAAATTTTTAGGTTTTGCAGTAGAACATATGATATCTTGAATTTTGTATAAAATTAGTTTCGTCTCTATGGAAATACATACATTGATCCCCTTACTTGCAAATAAGACTGCATGCAGTGGGCTCGTGTTTACCTTCTAGGACCACTCAACAATAATTTGCCTTGGACTGTCATATCTTTGATGATGGTACATATCTTCACAAGGGATGGTTCGATCTTCTACTTCCGCTCTGTCATCTGAATCTGCATTAGAAAGTATTTTTCTGACTTGGAATATGGTGACGATTGGATTTAGATCAAAGTTTTTTTGAACTAGCTTCTGCTCTTCCCTAGTGATCGCTTTGACATTCTACATTTTGGGTAGACAGACTATGGTGTTGTTTCCACTTTCTACCATATAGAAATTATTGATACCGTTATACTGTTATTCTCTTTTTTCATTTCAAGTTACTACAACTTTTAGAGGACTGGTGGCCATATCTGAATCAGCATAGGGATTGCAAATATGAAGATGAAAAGGTTCTGATGCCAACTGATGCATCTCTTGGTGATATGACAATCATACAATAGGCTTTAGAGATTAACCATAAATAAAAAAAGAAAAAAAAATTATCAGAAGAGAGTAAGAAAGAAGGAAGCATGAGTAGTAATCTGCTATAGAAATAGAGAAAAATTAAGAGAATGGGCTTGTTGTCTGAAAAGGTTATCTTTCTTTCAACAATGTATATGGCAGCAAAAACCTGTTTCTTTCACAGTAACTAGATAAGTCTCCCATGAAATCAGACACCAAGTCCTTTGTAACTCCTGAACTGAACAATATATCAACTAGCCCTCACTAAATCACTACAATATCACCACATACTACCAACATGATATTATAAAATGTTGATTAATCGTATTTCAATTTAGGTTTGAAAGGAAAAGGTTTAAATTGAGTGTTTGGGTATCATAAATTGTAGATAAAATATCAATTCAAATCGAATTTTTATCATGTTGTGCCATAGTCGATAAGTTATTAATTTATCTTTTGGTTTAACGTGCTTTCTATATTGAAACAATGAAGCCATTATCATTGAGGCATTAGTCTTATTTGTTTTGAATGGCCATAGTAACTTCTCATCCTATATGTAATTGGAGAAACTAGAAACCTTTTTTTTTTTTTGCTTTTGTGAAGCTAATGTAGTTTTGGTTCATATAATCCTTATGTGCATCTTGTCATTGGTTCAGTTTGAAAGTACATAACATGTGTTTATATTCTCCATGGTAATGATCCTCTTGCTGATACCTTTTGGGATGCCTACTTAGATATGTCTGATTGAGTTATTGATAGAAGTTGTGATGCAAGAAAGCTTGTCTATATCCTAAAAATCATATCAGAATCATTTTATAGAAGTTACAATTGGTTCAAAGAAAATGATGATACACCTCCTCTTGATTTCATGAGATTATGTAACCTAATCATAACAATTCTTGCTGTATCATGTGCACAATTTGTATACTGTTATTTCTAGCTATGTAGAAAGTCTCTTCAGTGGTAAATTTGTGCTCAAACTCTTTGCTTCCTTGTATATGATTGTT